CTGTAAAATTGCTTGATTAGTACTTTTAATGTGGGTTTATTCAAAGAATGTTAAAGCACATTGTTGCTGGTGAGCCAACGCTATATAGTATTTTTATTGGCTATTCAATTTGGTCACATGGTTGCAATCCGGATCGGATTAATTTTAGCTCACACAATCAAATGTTCACTTTGTTTGGTTGTGTTGCAGTCTGCCCCATTTAATCATAATTCTACCTAACGCTAATAATTTTGTCATTTCATAAAAATTAAGGTTCCACAAATTATGTATAGTATTTTTCGTAATTACCATTGATGTATATAATCATGCAGTAATATTTATTTGTTATTTCGTAATATGATACAACTTATTTTTTTGATCCCCAATCATTTAATAAGGCTAAAAAAAAGAGGGCAAATAGTGTGACAAATTAAAACGAAACCAGATTAAAATGAAATCAGATTATAATAAAATCAAATCAAAATAAAATTTGGATCTTTTTTTATGGGAGGGTTAGGTTAGAGCATAGAGTATAGCATTAAAATATGTAATATATTGACCTGTGATTATTTAAACATCCCACTCTGTTTCGTTTAATCTGGTTTCACTTTAATCCGTCACAAATAGTATATATATATGCAAATTTTCAAATTAACATCCGAAAATCCAGAACAGCTAGCTATTGATTTTTCTCCGTGAGGTTGCATATTTGACCAAATTTAATTTAATTAAATCAAGTTAAATCGTTTGCTAGAAATCTTCTAAAAAGAACATCTTTAAATTTCAACTCTAATTTTGACGATTCGATTGAATATCCTTCGTGATCAGTAGAAATTAACGATATCTGTTGTATATCGATATCAGAAATCACGATAATTTCCCCTTAGTGTAACGTTTCCTATAAAAAATGGCATTGACGATTTTATCCGTCACCCGAAGAAAAGGAGTAAAAAATAATTCATTATAAATACCTTCTACGCGCACACAATCACGTAAGAAAAGCCCCCTATTACACGTATTATCTGTATGTTTACCTGTTGACTGTTGACGCTTGGCTCAAATAATGTTGCTATTCATTTTACTACACATAGATAAAGACCATTGCACCTATGTGTTATTGAATTCTTTGATCTAACTTTTTTCCTATTAGCTTTTAACTATTATTACTTTTCTTTTGTTCCTCTCTTTGTTTATCAATAACTCCTCAAAAATCTAAATTTGAATATGAAGTTCTCGCATTCGCTTCAATTTAATTCGGTTCCTGATTGGGCTGACCACTATATAGCGTATCCTTTTATCGCTCGGAGTGCCGAAAATTTAAATCGAAAAATAATTATGCAATTATATAATTACACGTTGTGAAACATGTGTTTCCTTAACCAAATCTTTTTTATTTGATAATAGATATTCTATTCTCAAAAAACTAATCTATCAAATCGAAAAAGATATTATTTCAACATCTACGCTTACACAAGGAGATGCAGAAATAGCACAACAACCGACAGAAGAAACATTTCTACTTGATGCGAAAACACGTTCAAATACAATTTTCATTCCTGCACTTGACAAGGAATTGGAAAAGATCACAACATTCTACGTTAACAAAGAAAAAGAACTTTTTCAAGAAACAGAGAAAATTTTGGCTGATGTTGCTTATATAGAAAGTTTCGAGGACACATTACCCATTAATATTCCATCACGGCAACAATTTAGCCGGTCTTTTGATTCGTCAGATTCGCTAACTCAGATGTGGAAAAAACCGTCACGACAACAAAATAGTTCGGGAAGTGTTGGTTCTTTTTTAAGTAGCGATGATGATGAACATGGTGCCAATGACGAGGCTAACTTATTGGAAATTTCATATCATCATAATCCCCGAAATTCTCAACTTACTGAAGATGAACAACGAATTTATAATTTTCGGTCAAATCCATTGATCGAAGCTGAACGAATTCGTATAAAGAAACATACAATTGAACTTTATGTCAAGTTATCGGGACTCAAATCTTTTGTCAATCTGAATTACACTGGTTTCAGTAAAATTTTAAAGAAATACGACAAAATCACAAACAGTACTCAAATCAAATCATCGTACATGGCAAGCATGGTAAGCGAAGGCTACCCTTTCAAAAAAACCAGCCGTCAACTTCTCGATGAACATATCCGACAGATGGAAGAAATATACGCGAAGCTTTGCACATTTAATAATGTAAAACTTGCGGCAAAAGAACTAAGAACACACCTTAGAGAGTTTATAGTGTGGGAGCGAAATACAATCTGGAGAGATATTATTGGATTGGAGAGAAAGTCTCACGGAGTTGGTATTAAGGCTCATCCAACTGTCGAAGAACTGGAAAGCTCGAAAATAGAAACTCCGTTTGGGCAGGTAAGTGTGTCGGCTGAATACTGGAAGACTGCATTTGTATTGGCGACGTGTATTGGGATCTTTGCTGTTTTACTGGAAGCGAGAATATTTAAACCAGTTGAAGTGCGGAACTGTTTTGCTTTGTTAGTGTTTGCGAGTTTACTTTGGGCAACTGAGGTAATTATATTAAAAATTATTCTCGTGTAATAATAACTGACTATTAATAAATTAATATAATTGCAGGTGATACCACTTTTTGTCACCTCATTACTGATTCCTTTCTTAGTTGTTTGTTTACGCGTAATGCGCTTGAATGACAAGCGACTAGAGGCTCATGAAGCCACAAAAGAAATTTTCGCGGCAATGTTTTCACCTGTCATAATGTTGCTATTAGGAGGATTCGCCATCGCTGCTGCACTTAGTAAATATCATATAGCAAAAATGATGGCCACATTTGTGTTGTCGAAAGCAGGCAAGAAACCTCGCTGGGTACTGTTGATGAATATGATTGTTGCTACTATTGCTAGTATGTGGATTAGCAATGTGGCTGCACCTGTCTTGTGTCTTTCATTGATCCAGGTATTTTTTCTAATATATTATATTATTATTAATATTGTCTTATCTAAATAATCTTCCTTTTTTTAATATAAAAGCCAATCCTGCGTACTTTGCCACCGAATAGTTCATTTGGCCGATGTCTAATTCTAGGAATTGCACTTGCCTCAAATATCGGTGGAATGGCGTCTCCAATATCCTCACCACAAAACATAATCGCAATTCAAAACATGAGTCCCGAACCATCATGGATCGAATGGTTCATGATCTCCATTCCAATATGTATTCTCGCTGATCTACTAATATGGATCATCCTTCTCTGGAACTACCAACCTACGGAAACTTCACTACTAATTCACCCGATTCGAACATCACGAGATCCTTGGACCACCACACAGTTATTCATTTGTGCTGTCACGCTGATAACGATAGTGTTATGGTGTGCCGAAAAGCAGCTTGAATTCTTTCTTGGTGATATGGGTGTAGTTGCCATTTTGCCACTTGTCTTGTTTTTTGGAACTGGGATTCTGACAAAAGAAGATTTTAATAACTTTTTATGGACGGTGATTATACTGGCAATGGGAGGAATAGCGCTTGGAAAAGCAGTGTATAGTTCGGGACTTTTGACTACTATTGCACTAGCGATTACAAAGATGGTTCAAGGATTTACAGTGTGGGAAGTGATGTTGGTTTTTTGTACGTTGGTTCTTGTCGTGGCCACTTTTATCAGTCATACTGTCGGTGCATTAATTATTCTACCAATTGTGGCGAAAGTGGGCGATACTCTTGGTGACCATGACACATCATATCGAAATTTACTGGTCATGGTTAGTAGCATTTATTACTATTGCATTTACTGCTAGTAGAGTTTGATTCTTATAAATAATCTTCTTCTCTAGTCTTCTGCACTCATGTGTTCAGCAGCAATGGGCTTACCAGTCTCTGGATTCCCAAACATAAACGCGATCATGATGGAAGACGAGATGGGCGTTCGGTACCTTAACACAAAAGATTTCCTGAGAACTGGTATCCCTGCGTCCATATTAACGATGTTCCTGGTGGTGACTATTGGTTATGTGTTGATGCATTTTGTACTCGAATATTAATAATGCGATTTTAGTGTCTTTATTAGTATTAGTATTAGTATTAGTTTAAAAATAGCGATAGTACTGTGAATGGTTAATCTCTAATCGATAATAATAGTTCTGTGAATGGTATTCTATTTTTTTTTTGGTACATATTATACCAATACCTTTGACATTATTTATAAATAATGTAAATTACTCTTTAAATTTAATTTTTACTCGCGATTTTACGATGTCAATAAGACATCATAAATGGATAGGAGTGAAAAATGAATGATTCTGAATTTACTACACCAAATCATTACTTTCTGTAAAGACCTTGGTTAACCTCAATTTCAGATACAACGGGATAGGGCATTGTGCTTGATGTAGAGAAAAATGTGTCTTATTCCGAGCAGTATTCTCTGCCAGGTAAGACCAAACATTTGTTTTTACAGAATTCGAGCTCAAAACCCAAGATCTGTTAAATTTCTTGTCATATAGAGAACAAACACACTGAACTTGTGCAAAATTCGTCGATTTATCGTACTCTGCACTCACGTCATTACGCGCTCTGTACAATTCTTTAATCGGACCAGGAGAATGTCCCCGTAAACAGAAGAAAAATCTTCCATCTTCAGATTAAGATGACATTATACGCCTTTTGATTGATATCATCGGGAGTTTTAGTCATATGTCATAATAACGGGGTGGGATTACAAAACAATACATTTGATAATTTCGGTAACGAGTATTATCTAAAAACCAATTGCAGATCAAGCTGTCAAATCTGTTCCTGCAAATGTCGAGAAAATTCTTCAGAGAAAATATCCGGCGTAAAGATAGAACTCGTCAGTAGCTGTGATGGTGTTCCATATTATTACGCTATAGCTAAAAGAAAAATTTTCTTGGCATGAAGAAATGAATAATTAAATTATTTTCATACTAAAAATATATATAGTTTCCTTTACATAATTATTCTATTGAAATTGATTCAGGGTTATCAATGGAGCTCATGTGGCCATATGTAAAAAGTCACACTGACCCACCAGTAGTCTGGATTAAAGAACAACAGGATCCACTTTATCAGATAAAATATAAACAGGTAAAATATTATTGGACATTTATAAGAACCAATCATTCATCATTAGAAAGGGCTGCACGCCACCCAATAGATCGCTTTCTGATGAAGTACAATTAATGCAGATATACACAACTTAATAGAGAAAAATGTTGTGGTATATATCTCAGTCAAAAGTATATAACCTGCATCAAGGATTGGAAGAAGTAAACAAGACTTTAATATCTCCTGTGCCAAGCAACGTCATTGGAAAATTGCTGCACGTAAATGTAAAAAATTCTTTCAGGTAATAATTAATTAAAATTTCAATGGTAAAAAGATTTGAAAATCATCGGATTGAAATGGATGGTCCAAGCTTAACTTGATTAATTCAACTGAGTGAACAGTTTAAAAAATTTTAGGGGCAAGCCGACAAGAATACATCATATATAGAAAAAATTCAGCTCATATTTAAACCCATCCCGATGTCAAAGCAAGAAGCAATCGCCCAAAAAACGAAAATATGACCAAAGCAGAATCTCTACTTGAATTGCGGAAAAAAATATACTGGATTAAAGTCAAAAAAAACCGAACTGCATTGTTGTATACATTACAAGAGGTAAGGCATTTGTTAGATAGTGAACACAATCACCTAGTGTTTGGACTCGAGTTAACTCATGACCTGAGTTGAGTGTTTTCTTATGATTCAAGTGATTACGAAGGAAAAAGTTAACATCCCGACGCCGAAGTAATTCTTTCCCTAGCAGTGGGGTTTACTATATCGCTGCATACCCACCCCGGTTCCTTGCACAAAGTTAATAGATGATCATTAGAATAAAAAAACGCGTAAAAAATAAACAAACGAAAGAATTTCTCATATAACCAAGATTCCAAAATTAGTTTAATTTCGCCTAAAATTTAATAAAATCTCGAGTCGTTTTTTTCCTGATCTTCCTTACAAGATATATATTCCTGTTTTTTTATTATAGTACCATGTACTCTTGTCATATTGCTCAGTCTTTTTTAGTTCTATTGTTAATCAAAATTAATTTGTGAACTTAGTTACTATAATGTCTAAATAAAGTAAATTATCATTAGCAGAGTCGCGTGTTCTTTTTACATTCGCACCTTTCTATGAAGCAACGATAATGGAATTGATTAAACATCAGTTATTAATTAATTAATATAAATTAATATAAGCTTATGATCGACTATCGGACCGAGTGGCTGATTTAATAAATGAAGTGGTGGCTTAATAAGCTTTGAAACGACATAATGCAGCTTTCATGCTTACACCTGTTTAATATGAGGGCACAAGCGAGCCCCCGCACATCGTGTATGTAGAACCAATCATTAAAAGTTAATACACGATACATCATAATAATAATTATTATTGTCAATGAGGCTTAACACCAACAACTAGCTTCTCGAAAGCTTTAGTCTTCGTGTATGACGCCGTGTTCCCCTTTCCCATTCCAATAACCACAAATAACACCAACAAGAATACTAATAACTGTAAGTTAATAATTTTCTCTTTTTGTCCTCCTTTTCACTTTCTGCTATCAGTCATTCAGTTAGTCGGTCAACCAATACAATCATACAACAATATCAACTAATAATATCCAATAATAACCACCACCAACTAATAATAGTAACCCTAGAGTTGTATTAGTATTGATATTATCTGCTTTTCTTTTTTCTCGACCCTCTTTTTTGCCGCTTGGTAGCCTACCACTTGATATTTTCGTTTGAAACAACCGCCAGCTTCTTCCTGAATTGGAAGAAACAAATATTTACATTTAGATTCATATATATATATATATATTATTTATTATTGTGGTAGTTAGTTTACAAGAGTATATATAGCCCGTCCGTCAAGCAAGCAAGCAAGCACGCACGTTAAAGCAATTAAGGGTCGTGTGTCTGGCTACCACGGATCCTCTTTATTTTTTTAATCTAAAGTAAAAAGCAAAAGGGTGTGTCATTGTGGTTTGCCTTGGAACTAAATTATAAAACTCGTGCAGTTTTTTGTTTCTGGTATGTATGCTTGTTTTTCGTTTTATATTCTGAATCATTTTCTTTGTTTAATACTTATAATTATAATCTTAATAAATAAATAGCGTTCACGCGTACATACACAATAATATCCAAAATGGCCAAAAAATTACGACTCGAGACTTTGCACTCGACGTTTATCCTTCTTTTCCTATTAATCATCATCATCAACACAATCACCAGTCCAACAAAAGTAACCGCCTCCGAGATATTCCGCTTAAATAAACGGGCTTTGCCTACTATTATTACACAACCTGCTCAAGCCACGCCTCCAAATCCTCCTCCAACCTCATCCACTGATGCAAAAGATACTAGTACTCAACAAACAACGCCACCTACTTCCGCTCCTGCTCCACAATCGTCAAATTCACAGCCAAACACTGTAAGAGAAAATATTGAACATTTTGGTTTCTATTGAATTGATTATTTTTGATGCTAATTTTTATTTATATTTTATTGCCATAAATCAATTTAGTCTAAAAATCCTCAGCCGACTTCAAGTAATAGTGGTAATGAGGTAATGGTTTTTTGCTATATCTAAAATATTGGATACAGTCAGGCTTCGATTTAGCGATGACTAATTAATTAAAATCGAGGATGGAATGGAATTTGCCCAAAACATATGATATCGTTAAATCGAGCCTTGACTGTATATATGCTATTGAAAGTTATTCACGTTACCTTTTTTTCGGAATGAACCGAGTGTATGAAAATTTAATATTCGCTTTTTCAGTCTTAAGAAATTCAAGAGATCTCACCAAATTTCTTTTTCTATCTCGTAATAAACCTAAATAGCCATCTCCGTCATCTGCAGGTCAAACACCAGCACAGTCACCTACAGCCCCTCCAAAAGCTTCTACAATAGTAACGGTTTCAACGAGCGGGAACGCTATCATCACTATCACATCAACATCCTATTCATATGATGCAGTTCCGACAAATTCCCCCACAAGTTCCGGTTCTAATTCAGCTTCAAGTGGAGGATCAAGTGATTCGAGTGGTTTGGTTACCGCTGGTATTGTGGTAGGGTCAATAGTTGTGGCTGCTGCAATCGGTATTTGGATATTCCGAAAATGGAAATTATCCGTAAGTTTATTATTTAAGTTATTTATATGTAAATTTTTTTCGATTGATATTTTTAATCAAATTTTATCGATCTTTTGTTATAGCCATCTCGTAATTTTAAGGAAAAGATACAGCCCGTCAATTTTGCTCCAAATGTACGAGATCACAACTCGGATACAGTTTTCCTGCGTGAATTGAACGAGCCATAATAAGTTATTTATTATTACCACATTTTCATTTTTTTTAAAGTATATAAATATACTCTCATCTAATCATTGATATAATACTTATACACAAAATTACCCTCAGTCAATTCCGTTTTTTCAGTTTTGGCGTGACCAAACATTTACAATAATTATTGCTATCACTAAGATTTGCATTTTTTCCCGGTTCCTTACTCCTGTTTAATTTGTATATTATTCTTGATAACCGGCACTAGGTTTTTACGTACACAATTAAACCAAAATTTATTACATTACATTATTTTTATTATTTATTTCTGTAATAACAAGTAGATTACAATGACGTGTGAATTATGAATATTTCAAACATCCTCTCATAATCTTCATATTTTTTCATTCATAATCATTTATTTTTTTTTGTTTTTTTTATTATTATTGTTGTTTTCTTTTTCTTTTATTCGTCTGCATTTTTAGAGATAATAATGGTTTGATGTCTTATTTTTTGGTTTCTTTTTTATTGTTACTGTTATTTTCTTGAAAGAACACAAATATAGATAGGAGAGTGGATTCTTCATTTTATTTTTGGACGAGTTGCATGAACGAGTCAGTCGATTAATCAATCAATCCATAATCAATCAACTATTAATTAATTCATTAGCTTGGACTTTATTAATTGTTTGGGGTGGGAGAAGGAATGAGAATTCGAGTGAAATGATGATATTTGTAATTTTTTCACTGATTTTCGCATTTTTGATTTTTAATATGTCAAGTTTCATTTTTTATTGGATTTCAAACAAGTATTTACCTATATTCTACTCGATATTGGCTTAGAGAACTAAGGGCTTCATAGACAAAATAGGTAATACACGATACACAAGATATTCATGCTATTTCCTTATTTATTCATTACATTAAAAATAAAATCGTCTAAATAATTTGACGATGCATATATAATGAGTTCAATATGTTTATCAAAACACAGTCATTTAAAGTACATCAATAACATTTTCACCTAATTGCCATTGTTTTTATCAGATTTTATATTATCGTATACTTCCGAAATTAAGCACCTCTTTTTTGCACATAACGCTTGCCAAGATCCGTCATAATGTGGGTCAGGGGTGCTTATTTTTGGGGGGGAAGGGTGCTTAATTTCGGGAGTATACGATATATAAATTGATTTTTCTAAAATACAAAATGAAATATCAAATTACTTTATAATTATTTTCATATTATAATCACATTTATAAAAAGAATAGCTTATATATGTAATCAAACTTATAAATACACAATGAACTCTATAAAATAAAGTTTTCAGGCTGATTATCGAGATTATTTATTTATAGAAATAAATTTAATTATACAGTGTAGGTCACTTAGTTACCACAATTGGCCAAATCTTTAACTCAACAATCTGAACTTTTCCAGTCAAAAAAATACGTGATGTTATAGAGTAGTCAATAAACTATTGATTTACGTATTTTCTAATTATTTTGAGGACTCTGATATAATTTTAAGTTAATTTTTTTGTGTGGCAACTAAGTGACTCGCACTGTAGTTTATTATAATAACTTAATCTTATCAAGTTATACTGTGTACGTACTTGTTATTTTATTTTATTTTATTTTATGTTAAATTGCATTACTTTATCTGTCTCGATGATATCATATTAACTGAACAATCGATTTTTTCTCACGAAGGAATGTAACCTAACACCATAAGATAATCTATCGCGTATTTTTATTTTCGCGTACAATACAGAAGGCAAGGGAAAACCAGTTTTTTTTGTTTAGTGGTACAGAAGATGGAAAATAATAGTCGTGCGTTTTGAGGATGGTTGTAACCGTAGCAGTTCTCTGCTGAAGACGAGCGAATTTGGAACGTCCTTTCGTTACACCTCTTATACGCGATATCTGATAATATTACGAGTCAAAAACTAAAGATAAAATGTGTTTGGGGTGCTGTAAAAATGTGAAGCAGGGCTTTAAGGACTTTCTTAATAAACGAGGCGGGAATGTAGTTGACTTGGGTGTTGGTAATGTTCTTTCAAAAGTTAAATGAAGTGTTTATTAATGAAAAAGTTCACAATCCTATTCAATTGATTATTGTTACTATTTTTAGGTATTATTATTGGTGGGGCTTTCTCATCCTTGGTTAACTCTTTTGTGGTATTGTATTTTTTTTTTAACTTGATTTTATTATAATGTTTTAGCATCAAGATAAATTTTAATATAGATGAAATATATTTTTGATTAGGTTGATATTTTGACTCCACCTCTTGGTTTGTTATTTCGAGGTAAGAAAATCTGAACCGTCTTCGTTTCTTTTGAGAAAATTTATCTTTTTGATACTAAACTTTCATAAAAAAAGGTTCAAATCTCGTAAACTGGTTTATTATTCTTCGGCCTGGTGAACATCCCGATCAAAAGTATAATACGCCAGAAGAAGCACAAGCTGATGGTGCGGTGTAAGTTGAAATAATACCATAAGAAAGAGTGTGTTTGTTATCTATCAAAAATTGAATCTAAATACTAAATATAAAAATATAGCACTGAAAATGTGGGTCGGTTTCTTAACAATCTGATTCAATTCTTTACTCTTACGTTTGCCTTATTCTGGATTATGTATGGTAAGACAAATCGTGTATCGTGGAATTAATTAAACCTATTGTAGAAATGTAATGATTTTATTATGTTTATAGGAGCTAATGCAATTCAAAAAGAAGCAGAGAGGATACGTAAGCTTACGGAGGGTTCCAAAGATAGTGAATCTAGCGAGTTGCCTTGTCCATGGTGTAAAGGCTCGGTTCCCAAAGACGCATATAAATGTAAAAATTGTTGTAGTATTTTGAGCGAGAAACCTCCTATTACTCAACAGTCACAATCGAATACAAATAATCCAGATGCTAATAATAATATTAATAATAATAGTAATAATGCGGAAGCGTCTAATTTGCAAACACCTACAGAAACTTTGATTGATGTTTAGATTTTATTCTCAGTATCTATGTATGCATGGATTTGATTTATCTCTATCGATATATTTATCGTTATAGTTTGTTCATTTAGAAAATACAATTTTAATCCAATCAATTGTTGATCCTTCTAAAGTTACCATTTGTATTTTATGTGAGATTTGGATGCAATAAACCAATCAAGATCAAGGAATTTTTTGTGAATAACTGTGCGTCGACTCTTTCTTTTTTACCAAGCATTTTCTGCTTTCTACAGTAATGGTAAAGTTGCCCTGAATCTTTATTTGCTTCGATACCATTGATTTAAGCACCAATTAAAGTCTTTATATCTTTATATAGTCTCTAGCTCCTGTACAAATTTTTCAAGAGGAAGCAACAGAGGAACGTGCTGAAAATGCGCGTCTTGTAAGTCCTATTCTCTCAATAAAGGATATTTTATGCAATCTTAAAAACGTCAAATTCTTAAAGTCTTTTGGCTTTTTCGTTTATTAGTCCTCTTTCATTGGAGCGATAGCTATCGGTGATCTGGTAAAAAGTACCTTAGGTCCAAAGGGAATGGTACGAAATATTCTATTACACAGGTCTGAGTTTGCTACACACTGTCATTAATGACGAGCTCGCGTTTCTTACGCTATTTCCTATACTTTGATATTCAGGACAAAATCCTTCAATCTTTAACGAATGGTGAAATAACGGTCACAAATGACGGAGCAACGATTCTTAAATCAATTGCACTTGACAATGCTGCTGCAAAAGTTCTTGTCAGTATCCTTTTTGACGATCAATAATTATCGAATGCACGCACACATCTATTTCTTAATTAAATTCTCGAAAGATCAAGAAGATATTTTTATCATTTAACCGGTCAAAACAATTATAGATATATCTAAAGTTCAAGATGACGAAGTTGGCGATGGAACCACGTCGGTTTGTGTGCTTGCCGCGGAATTACTGCGTGAAGCTGAGAAATTAGTGAGTCAAAAGATCCATCCACAAACTATTATTGAAGGATATCGCATCGCTAGTAATGCCGCGTATAAAGCTTTGGAAACTTCAATCGTTGATAATGGGTACGTGAAGTATTATTCCTTTTAAGAATAAACAGTTTGCTTATAGTTTTTTACATAATTTATAATAGACAAAATCCAGAAGAATTTCGAAAAGATTTATTTAATATTGCTCGCACAACTTTAAGTTCAAAAGTATTGTCTCAAGATAAAGTTTATTTCTCAAATCTTGCGGTCGATGCTGTTCTAAGGCTCAAGGTATTTAAATGATTCTTTGATCATATAAAAATTTTATTTTTATATATTAACAGTGTATTTCTTTATTTTTGATTGCAGGGAAGCACTAATTTAGAGCATATACAAATTATTAAAAGACCTGGTGGTAGATTAATAGACTCATATCTTGATGAAGGTAAATTTTGAAATAATGATTTATCATTGTTATTATAACTAAACTAATCTTTTTTTTTACTTAGGCTTCATCTTGGACAAAAAAATCGGAGTGAATCAACCAAAAAGAATTGAAAATGCCAGGATATTGATTGCCAACACACGTTAGTTATTATCATGGAATTGCGAACGATTACACTTTTAAAGAAAAGAAGCTTATTCAACATTGCCTCATACTAAAAATAGCAATGGACACAGATAAAATTAAAATATTTGGTGCTAGAGTTCGCGTAGACTCTACAGGGAAGTTGGCAGAACTGGAAAGAGCTGAACGTGTATGTTACAAAATGACTTATTAGAAATTTCTAGTGTCTCAATATCATCCTAATTTAACCGAGACTTTTCCTTGTATGTCATATAGGATAAAATGAAAGAAAAAGTAGAAAGAATCAAAGCTCATGGGATTAATTGCTTTGTGAATCGTCAATTAATTTATAATTGGCCTGAATCGTTATTTGCAGAAGCCGGTATTGTGTCGATCGAGCATGCCGATTTTGACGGTGTAGAAAGACTGGCACTTGTTACTGGTAATATATCAATTTGCATAATTCGATTATTTTCATAAATAGAAATTGATTGTTTCAAAATAGGCAGTGAAATTGCTTCTACATTTGATCATCCGGAGCTTGTTAAGCTCGGTCAATGTGACTTAATAGAAGAGATAATGATTGGGGAAGACAAGGTTTGTACATAGGGAAAAGAAAGCTTTTGTTGATTAATAAACATTAACTAATTATTTTTTGAATGATTAGCTCATTAAATTCTCTGGAGTTGCAGCGGGTGAAGCATGCACAATTGTGATACGTGGTGCGACAAGACAACTGTTAGATGAAGCTGAGAGATCTTTGCATGATGCTTTGAGTGTATTGACACAGACAATCAAAGAGACGGGGACTGTGCTAGGTGGAGGTTGTTCCGAAATGTTAATGTCGAAAGCTGTCGATGAAATTGCCGCTAAAACACCCGGCAAAAAAGCAATTGCTATCGAGTCTTTTGCTAAAGCATTAAGACAGGTAAATAATATCTTTATATGTAATTGCTATCGATTAGACTTAGCATTGAAAATTCACGCTATTTTTTTCGTCTAAAGATTCCCACAATCTTGGCAGATAACGGCGGATTCGATAGCTCTGATTTGGTGGCTAAATTACGTGCTGCTCATTACGAAGGCAAATCTACATATGGACTAGGTTAGATTGAAACTTGAAAAACAAACTGTATATATTCCATATTAAACCCGCTTTTTTCAATAGATATGATAAAAGGCGAAGTGGGGGATGTACGCGAACTTGGAATCACCGAATCGTTTAAACTCAAACGTCAAGTTCTTACAAGTGCATCAGAAGCAGCAGAGATGATTTTACGTGTGGATGATATTATTCGATGCGCTCCTAGGTATGTTTCTCTTGATACTTGGAATAACTTGCGAAAGAATGTGTCAATTTGATGAAATTAAATTTAAACAATATCGTTTTTTTCATTTTTAGGAAACGTCAAGGATAATAGAAACACACAGCAGTGAATTGTTATTATTGCCTTTTTTAGAATAAATAACTAATAAACTGATTCAATCAAATTTGAATAAATTTTTTGGATAAATAATATTATGACAAATAAAGGTTTATCCTTAGAAATGCATAAGGGTATTTATTGAATCTGTGACAAGTTCCGATTCCCTTATTTTCCGACCCTGTCGATCTACATACACTACAATGATCGTTATCCAGCGGAAACTTCAATACAGTCTAATGAAGCATTAGCGTTAATAAACCGAAGTTGGTTCCAAAAACGGTTACCTCGATAAACAGAATGTACTAAATAAACCGAAATTTTCAAAAAATTTTACTATCGAGGTTTGATTGAAAGTTTATTACGTAATACTTTTTTTTTACTATTAAACGTAAACGTCCATCAATTGCATACCACCATTTTATGATATCTACATTTTCCCACACTTAAATTTTCAACCCTGCAAAACGAAATCATTTGATTCGTGTTGTGCTTCACCCCTGCAATCTACCGCAGCGAAGACTATGAGATTAGATCAGTTAGTCGATTAAAAAAAGCCTCGGTTCAAAAAAACGATGTTATCTTCGATTACGTATTAATAACACGGTCGACTTCGATGGCTACATCAAGTACAGCACGAGCAACTTTCGAATTCCAATTAAACCAGAGCAAAGCGAACGCTTTAACTCCGCCATTCGCTACCTCAGACGACCTCTTTTGGCAGTTGGAGTATTGCGAGGTATTCTGAAAAATTAGATTGTGGAAACAATATTTTTTGCTTGGTCGCCTTCCTTCTCTTTGTAAATTTTAGATTGTCATTTCTATCAAAATGGTATTTTTTAATGCATTTGTAGACATATCCAAATGAACCGGAATGCTTTGTTGTTCGCCTTCACGTAATTCCAAACCAAGACGAGTTAGAATCCATTTTGCCTTGGTCAAGAAGACACGAGTTATCTGCAACAATTTATGTTATAAATGTACATTCAGAAGGGCAAGTTATATATATTTGAATTATTTTTTTCAGATGGTCTTTGAACTATTGAGTTTAATTAAAGTTATTTCATCAATAGGAATCAACAATATGTCGGGAAATTGGCATTAGAGATGGATAAATTGACACCCGAGATGAAATATCGAGGTAATTTTAATTGGTCGATATATGTTCAAATATCACGTGATACTTATCAATTCAAAAAATCCTGGCAGGATTCTTTTACAAGAAAACAAAGCTCGCCCATAATTTTCTAATCGGAGTCACTTTCTCGGAATTCCAAACGAATTCCAAATTAGTTCCAGCACCATTTCCTGGACGAAAAATCCCTAATGAATTGTTTGATGCATGGCTTGGCGAGATAAACAAACAAGACTCAGTTGATGTTCAATTCAATGTCAGTGGGCAAGTGGTATATGCCAGCAGTGCAATACTCTCAAAACGCAGCGAATACTTTCGCAATTTCTTTCAACAAAAATGGGCCGAATCAGAAGATATTCAATCAGATACTACTCAATCACCATCACAATCTCCAAATACTCGAACACGATCCAAGAAAAAGTCATCATCATCCTCAGTAAAAGGAGTAACAATCAATGGTACCAATGGCACAAACACCAATGGTACGACTCCCGAAACATCTGATATTTCGATTTCAAATAATCAGATAAAATATGTAATCAGCGTCCCGGATTTCGAGTATGATACATTCTTAGGGATGCTGAGGTATCTTTACACAGATAATCCTGGTTTCAGTGTCGAAGATGGATCTCCTACCTCACCATTAGCTATGATGGCGATCAGTGATAAATATCTGATTCAGGATCTACGTGAACGAGCCAAAGAAAAATTACTAAAAATTCTTAATGAAGATAATGCTGCGCGTATTCTGTTTGATGCAGCTTGGAAGTGGCCTGATGTCAAAGAAATTGTGATGAATTATGTGGTCAAAAATTTTGCTAAAGTTCGTGAGACTCCAGCTTTCTTGGAAATTGATGACTCGCACCCAATGACCGCGAAACTCTTACTCCAACTTATCAGACAAGTCAGCTTGGAAAAAAAAAACGCGAAATGAACATGAGTTGAAAGTAAAATTTATTCGTGATTTTCTTGACTAATGCACGATATTATCTTGTTGGACTATATAACTTAGATCGTTGTTTATCATAATTTTATCTTCGTCATTCCATTTCTTATACCTTCTTCTATAATCATTCACTGAAAAAATTGTTTTATTTTTCTGACTATAACTTTTTACAAAGATGGCGTATATGAACTATTTAAAGGTATATTTTAAATAAATATTCTAGTTTTTAATCCACATGATCAACAGATTATCAAAACCAATAGTGATTGATGTGCACACTTTTGACGAATTTTATATATCAGATGCAGATCAATGAAAATCTAATTAATTTTGGGAAGTCATAACTCGACAATCACGTGATTTAAATTTTCTGTAAAGTGAAATATAAATCAATTAATTAATTTTGATTCAACCAATCAGAGAAAAGTAGTATGCACATGTTTCTCATCTTGAATTACCTATGTAAATGTTGATGCGCACATGATTTTTTGCGCCTAATTTCAAACTCTTCAAATTTGAATTCTTTACTCTGTAGCATTGAACCAATGGCCGAAAAAAAAGTCTGGAACTTTGGTGCTGGTCCGGCCATGATACCTTCGTCTGTGCTGCTTCGTGCACAAGCAGAGTTCACAAACTACAATAACCTAGGAATGTCAATTTTGGAATTATCCCACCGCTCCAAAGAGTTCGAAAACCTTCTCAATAAAACTAAAAACGATTTTCGAACACTGCTTAAAATCCCCAAGAACTACGAAATTTTATTTATGCAAGGTGGAGGACACACGCAATTTTCAGCGGTCGTGTATAACTTGCTTGCGGCAAAACGAGCAAAATTGGGTGATAACATTAACGATAATGATTTTAATCCACCCATAGACTATTTGGTAACTGGATCATGGTCAGCCAAAGCAGTCCAGGAAGCAAAACGAATACATGGAAATGTAAATATAGTTTTTGATGTGAAGAAATTAAAAGGTGTTTATGGCTCAATTCCACCCACTTCCGAATGGAAACTGAGTGGACCTAGTGCTGCTTACGTATATTACTGCGATAATGAGACAGTGAATGGAGTTGAATTTCCGTATATACCCGAAATCGATTCTTCTGTACCGCTTGTTTGCGATATGTCCTCAAACATGTTATCACGTCGCGTGGATATAAGCAAATTTGGCGTAATTTACGCGGGCGCACAAAAAAATATAGGTCCAGCTGGAGTGACATTGGTCATAGTGCGCGAGGATTTATTAACACCTGCAGGGTCTTTGGACCAGCAGCGTCACAATGTTCCCATAATACCCACCATGTTAAACTACCAAACGATGGCTGACAACAATTCACTATACAATACACCACCAATGTTTTCTATATATATGGCGGATTTGGTTTTCGAGTGGTTATTGGAGCTGGGTGGAGTGGAAGCCATTCAGGCTATAAACGCCGCAAAAGCGCGAGCACTTTACGACGTGATTGAGCAATCGAAAATTTATCGGTCGCCTGTAGATAGGTTGGTGCGCTCACGAATGAACGTGCCGTTTAGAATTGATCCACCGGAGTTGGAAAAGGAGTTTGTAAACGGCGCGGACGAGTTGAACATGTATCAACTGAAAGGACATCGGAGTGTAGGTGGGATTAGGGCGAGTATATATAACGCTATGCCTTTAGAAGGTGTAGAAGCGTTAATTAAATATATGAAAGAATTTGAGAAAAAGCATTCGGCATGAGACTATATAAATTAGTTTTGACGCAAGTTCGAATAGAAGAATTCCAAAATTTATTGATTTTATTTAATTTGTGATGATATAATAAATAGCTAATAATCAAAATTTTCGAATCAACCGAATATTACAATCTATTGCTTCGATCCATTATCGAAAATTGAATCGGAAATCTACCAAATACCCTAGGAAATTTCAATTTACCGTATTAGCTTTAAAATGTCAATCGATCCTTAAATAATTTGCAAATAAAAAAAGAAACATGATGCGCTTACCGGAAATACTTTGTAAGGAACAATGCGACAATACTCGTCCCAATACTTTCCATATTTGCCACGACAACGCGTGTCATCCCGATAAACACGATGTACCAATAAAATAAACATATAAATAATATAGAAGTAGGGCAAAAGATCCCGGAATCCACACGTTAAACACATTGCCAAAGAAATAAGTAAATCGCCCACGTAATTGAAATGACGAGACCAACCTAACAATTTATTTTTATAAATTATTACATGAACGATGACATGACACGTCCATCAACAAAACACCAATTTGTCTTCTTAAGGATACTTACCCCAAAACCCGCTAGTTATCAAAATGCTTGTATGGGATTTTCCATCACTTGTGACATATTTGGTTGGAATATACGTGGCAGGTTTACCCCAAATTTCACATTTGCCTTTTTTGCGACGTACAATGTCTTTTTGATTGTTGACAGCACGAAAGATGTAGTAGCCGGTGAATCCTACGGCGGCCACCAATAAAAAGTGTGGTATTGATAGATCAACCGGATTACGTACCAAGTAATGCGATTGTAAGGTATACTAGAAATTATTGAGATGCTAAATTTAACGCGATAAAGTTTAAAAATTCACAGTATATGAGTTACCTACCATATAGGGAAGCCATACAGTATCACCCCAAGCTAAGTAGTAACCAAAATGATCGTGTGCAATATCTACAAATTTTAATTTATATTAAAATTTATTGCGTTCTTCAATTAATTAGAAAGGAAATCTCTATACCAATAGTTCGAAGATACCAATCCTCATTATAAAAGAAATCCAATACATAAGTTGCATGTAAAATATTCAACAAAATCATTGAATTGGTTACGTATCCTAAAAATTGCAAATATAAAAATCAGGATTCTTTCTTACAACCATCATTTGATTGTGCTTAAGAGAATATACTAACACACCAATTTTGTTATATTGTGCAGCCGCAAACGATAAATTAATTAAAGTCCACGCGATAATTCCGGGTCGACCATTATGAAACAACTTGAAATCCCACAACTTCCCAATCCTTGGATTTAACTCGATGCCCATCATCAAATCGTACAACATATGTCCCGAAAATTTACGATCTTCTGGGTGCGTGGGAAACGTGTAGGCCTTCAAGAACACAAAGAAGGTAAGGAAGTATCCATATAAATTGGCGACCACTAGTAATGGGCCCCATTGATCGTGAATTATCGAAGCATCCCACCATCCAAAGTAGAAAGCACCTGCGAGAAATAAGATGTGTGAAATAGTCCAGGCCAGTAATCCATTAACCTGTTTATTTTGATTAATAATATAAAATAAGTTTTTAACTCTTCTACTACGTAAATTATTATATATAATACCTTGTAAGGCAAAATATGACCAGCAGGTGTCTGTTGTCCATAACCAATTTTCCCGGGCAATACTGCATACAACAGAGCTTGAAACGTGACCCATGCAAAATAAATTTTTGCGGCATCCAAAGAATGTCGAGGATGTTTATCTATTAATGCTTCCTTTACAGCAGCAGCAGTGTAGTCATGATCCTTTATATACTTTATCGGGGCATAAAGCGAACATTCATAGTGTGTACATGACATCCAAAAGTAAAGAACAACAAATGGAGTGCCAAATAAGAGCGTTGAAGATAAAGCAACATTTCCTAAGCTGACATCTAAAAGATTAAATTGAAATTTTATATTTCAAGGATATAATCATTATAGCTGATATATGATTCACATTCAATGTTTAGTTATTGTTTATTATTATTTACTCTACCTCTATCACGACCCCAAGTTTTTCCCGTTTGAGCATACAACTCCTGGGTCTTGCCATCTCCCGCTGTTCCATTCACTTCATTAATTTCATTTGTTTTATTCTTTTCATCATCTTTTATTTCTTCGTTGTCCGTCGTATAACGCTGTTTCAAAGACATTATTATATTGTTCAGTTGGTTTCTTTAAAAAATCGAAAGAATCGCAACGAACCAAAAATGAAACAAAAATTTCCTAGTATCTGATCGATCGCCGATTTACTATGAAAACCCATCGTCATATTCATTAACTATTCTATAATATGGTGACATCATTTAATAGATTGTGATAAGTGCTATCAAGTAACGTATTTTATTATAAAAATTTCAACATTAATATAAAAAAATATAATAAATCTTACCAATCATATTTAGTATTGATCTGCAAAATTTTCAGCGCCTTTAACACTATATAGTAAATGATCTACAATATACATTAATTTTACTTTTTTCCCACGGTAATTGGACGGACGAATTAATTGGGCAGCTGTGACCGTATTAACCAAATATGGAGATGCGCTAAAGCGTGGTGAACACGTACAATCCATTGATCAACCCGGCAAATTCGAACATGTAATTTCTATATGTGATTCATACATGTGATTTGACATGTAACTTAACATTCATAATTAAAAAACAAATCCGACACAAGATATGAAAAATGTGAGAAATGTGAATATTACAAGAAAACTGATGCTTAAACCTGTCTTGGAATACTAATTAAAAATGTTAGGAAGGCAATTTTATATATAACCTTGTCCTCTAACTCTAATCCTTACCCTTGACCTTATAAATCATTAATCGGTTGCACACTGAAAATTTAGAGGGACTGAATCACATGTTCACCACGCTTTAACGCATCTACACTGGTGACCATCAATACAACTGCACTGTATGAAAGCAAACAAATTCATAGCGATAGTAGTCGATTAAAACCATACCGATACTGTATAACAGAATATTCAGCTTTTTGAAATGAATCGATTTCTTTATTATCAGACCACTCAGAAAGAAATGGAAATAGAAAATAATCCTCTTGGAATTTCATTGCAAAACTCGCACGATAAAATGAATTTAGTTCTGATCTGCATGGAAAATCACTTGCCACTTTTCAAGCCACCTTTTCCCTTAGTTCAAAACTCGGTTTTAAAGAAAAACAAGAAATTCTTTTAAATTGCTGTTTTCAAACAGATTATAATAATGGCCGACCCCTGGGATGACTGGGAAACGGCCGCGGACGCTGGCGTAAGTATAAATTTCTCTTTTAGCTTTTCCCGAGATTCATGTCCTTTATTTCTATCCTTTATTTTTAGCATGCATTTACAGTTTTTAAACTATACATACGGTTTTCTTAAATATAACTCAGTTGGACCCGAAACCTGCAAAAAAAGTGAACGAACATGAAAAGAACAAACAAATATGGCAGGATGCGTAAGTATATACAAGAAGAAAACATTTAAACTCTCTCAAAAACAGAAAAGACAATTCATTATAATCGATTTATATACAATTAGTAATGCTTACGCACAACCTGAAATTATACGAACCGATACGACGCGAACAGAATACGCTCCACAGGTAATATGAAGTCATAATAATTGGTATCTCAACATTAATAATCTATATTTCAATCAATTCTTTATTGTTCTGAAAAGCTTCGTATCTTGAGACGACCAAAGGAACCAGGGTCAACGACGATAACTCATCCATCACTCTTGTCAGATGGCGCCGATTCCACACCCAAAACTCTTGAGGAACGCGAGGCAAATTATAATGCCGCGCGACAAAAGATTTTTGGGGCGAATCAGCAAGAGAAGATAGTATCTAAAAGCGAAATTGGTGTTGATCCTGAATCAACAACAAAAGCATCAGCAGGAGCAGCAAAGCGAGGAGATAAAGCAGAAGATAATAAGATTAGGGAAAAGAAAAAATTGTTTGATCCCGGAGCAACTGATAATAATAATAGAAACGATAATCAAACAAACAAAGACATTAAAAATGAATACACCATCGTGGGATCCGGACGAAACTATAATAGATCCCCTGCTTCACCTCCATCATTGACGCAATCACCAAATTATGTTATTCATCGTAAGATGTTAGATTCTTCTCTAAAAAACAAAGAAGGGGAACAACCACCAAAAATATTATTGAAAAGACTATCACCACCCAGTTCAATGAGTTCTGCCAAGAGTGGTGATGATACCACCCATCAGAGCCCAAACATAGTGAACGTCTCAAAGGAGGAAGGTATATTATAAATCAGAGTACCGTTCTGTCTTTCCTCGCTGACGATTATTAAGGCTGTCTATTTAATTATAAAGCAATCTCTAAGTTGAAAAAAAAGATTATACAACTGGATATCAAAACAATTAAGATTTGAATGTGTTACCGTAATTTGCTGTGCAAAATACCCCTTTATATTATTATACCCCAATTGATTTATACCGAGTACATTTCTATATGGTTTGTATAAGGATCTGGTACAAATTTTTTACATTAGGATCTTTGGTACGATACAATAATAAAATTTACTAAATTCATAAATACAGACTTTTATAATTAAGAAATTTTATGCAAAAAATTCTAGCAATTCCAAATTGAATACTTGCTTTAAAGCTAAAAATGTTCTCTAATGAAATCTACCAATTTTTACACAATTCGTTGAGATTTAGTTCCTGAAATTCCAAATTCATAATTCAACTATTTTTTTTACTAATTGGATTTGGGACTTCGGGACCTAATATCTCGGCGAATTTTGCTATAAAGGTAGATTCACAGAGCATTTTTAATTAGTGGTCCAACTTGGGTTTTTGTCTCGATTATTGTTAAAATAAATAAATTGCATTTATTTATAACAATAACGATAGATGATTCTGGAAAATTTTTTAGAGGTGGTGCAAAATAATTATGGAAATCCATTGGTTTCTATCAAGTCGGCGTTCCCCTTTACACGAGATCCCCCAAATAGTATATACAATATAGGAATGAAAATTCGCGCCACAATCAAATCATGTTCATTGTTCATCTCACTTTAAAACTGCGAAAGTAAGTGTTGGTCAAATTGGAAAATTAAATATATAGATGGAAGGCCATGCATCGAGCATTAAACGTAGAATTGGCTCGGGCTCGAATTCGAGACGAGAATCTAGAATATTATCCGGTGGAGGTTTTACGCCTGTTTCCGATGAGGTAGTTTATGCGTATGCCTTACGAGTTGCCTACCTTGCCCATTTGTCTCAGCCAGTACTATCACCTACAGTGGCATTCACCCCTAGCGACTCGCAAAACAAACGCTTTAGCACTGCCTCGCTCGGGTTAGGAGGATTAAATCAACACAAAGCTGCAGTGCACGAACTTGGTACGACAATTTCTTCGGGATTTTCACAACTACACGAACTATTTAAAGATGATAAAAAGAGTTCAAAGAGTCTAAAAATTCCTAAAGAACTGATCAAGGCTTTGCAGGCGAGACTGCAACTGATTGTTCACGGACGAGATCACAATCCTATTTATCAGGATCCATATCTGCGTAATGATCTCTCGTTATTTTATAATGCGTTGCAGAAACCAGGATTTCGGCAGCAATTCAAAAGTTCAAATAGTAAAATTGAAGATTTGGTATTAATCTATCTGAAAACGGCACAAGGCGAATTGAAAAAAGCGACCTTGACACCGCCAACAACCTGGCAAGATAAACTCACTGAGCATGTTAGTATTTTTGTGGGCATATTGAAGGAATGTCTTCAAACGAAAGAATGCGCTGGAACCTATTCACCCGAATTAATCACACGACTTGATGCATATCAAACAAGATTTTCGGGGAGTCCTGCGGCTGCAAATGTAGGTCCTAGTACAAATGGAGTTAGCAGCAATATTGAAGATATGAAAATGGTAAAAACTGTACAGGCGATTTTCAATGTTCCAAGTACTCAAGTACAAAAAGATGTCAATAAAATCATGCATCAGTGCACATTACCAGTAATTATTTAATGTATATTATATCGACATGACTTGTTAAATTTTTTGATTTTGTATTAATTGGATATCAATTTTTTAAGGCGGCCGTAGAAGATCTTCGAACATGTATAAATCACGTAAACCGTGGTTCACCTTTCCCTGCACGTCGAGAAGATTTTGAATCAGATGACGTGTACAATAATTGGAAATCGCAGGAATTAAAAACTATGACTGACATTATGTCTGCGTTAATAGCATTTAATCCTACTGTGCTAAAACAATCGAATGAAGTTGTATCGACTCTTTTATCTAAAAGCCGAGGAATAACATATTCTGACGACACTGAAGTGTCAGTTGATGCTTACAGGCAATCTGAAATTACAAAAACTCAGGAGCAACGCACTAGTAGTTCACGTCATTCTATAGCTCAGAGCACCTTTAATCAACAACCTCATGTGACACAACAAGGACAGCAGCCTGCTACATCACAAGGACAAGGACAGCCTCCACAACGTCATTCTGTAGCTCAGAGCACCTTTAATCAACAACCACCTTTTATACAGCCTATTCTACAACCTGATTCATCTCAAGGACAATATGCGTTACCTTCACAGTCATCTCATCATGGTCAATATAATCAGACCCCTCCTTATCCACCAGCTCAACAGACACAACCTCCTTATCCACCAGCTCAACAATCACAACCGCCTTATCCACCAGCTCAACAAACACAAACTCCTTATCCACCAGCTCAACAATCACAATATGGAATCTCTTCTGGTCAATTCACAAATGCACAACAATATCCATCTCCTCAACTATCTGCAGCTGGAAATTATCCATCCCCTCAACTATCCGCAGTTGGAAATTATTCATCCCCTAATATAAATTACCCACCACCACCTAATTATACAGGGGCATCGTACCAACAATATTCTGTGCCAGGACAATCTTCGCAGCATCAACAACCAACACAACCTGGATTTTATCCTCCCCCTAATTTTAATTATCCGCCGCCACAACCATATCCACCACCTGCCCCTAACTTATATTCATCATCGTCAGTTAATTTTGTGTCTCAATCACAGAACAGTCAATATCCTGTACCTGGTAAAACCTCGTCACCAAGTCAAAGTCCACTACAGACCGCTCAACAACTACAACAAACAGCAACAGGTTCATATTCGCCGGGTCAGTATCCATCACCATCTCTGCCTCAAACTTCTCCCAGACAAAGTGTAGTTCAACCGATCCAAACAAATCAATATCCTCCTACATCCGGTCAATATCCGCATTCATCACCAGCTCTGCCTCCCAGAACAAGTGTAGTTCAACCGACACAAACAAACCAATATCCGCCTACATCCGATCAATATCAAACTTCTCCCAGACAAAGTGTAGTTCAACCGACACAAACAAACCAATATCCGCATTCACCACCAGCTCTGCCTCCCAGAACAAGTGTAGTTCAACCGACACAAACAAACCAATATCTGCCTACATCCGATCAATATCAAACTTCTCCCAGACAAAGTGTAGTTCAACCGACACAAACAAACCAATATCCGCATTCACCACCAGCTCTGCCTCCCAGAACAAGTGTAGTTCAACCGACACAAACAAACCAATATCTGCCTACATCCGATCAATATCAAACTTCACCCGGACGAAGTGTAGCTCAACCGACACAAACAAACCAATATCCACCTACATCCGGTCAATATCAAAATTCTCCCAAACAAAGTGTAGCTCAACCGACACAAACAAACCAACATCCGCCTACATCCGGTCAATATCAAACTTCTCCCAGACAAAGTGTAATTCAACCGATACAAACAAATCAATATCCGCAGTATTCGCAATCTTCTCAACATCAAATTCCACCTGCTTCAAATCAATCTGGACAATGTCCATCCGGCCAGGATCCACCTGTTCAAAATTTACCGAATCAAGCAAAATCTTTCCCAAAAGGAGATATACCAATGACACCAGTCTCCCCAGCAACTCCATCGGGCTCTATTTGGTCTAATTTAGAGAAATCTTCGGAGGTTTGCTTAAATCTTTTTTTAATTCAATTGCAATTTTTACGCGCATGCATTTATTTGTTGGCTTATCCGATTTATCTCGATAGACTAGTAATGCCTATGGCGCGTTCACTTATATTCCGCCAAATCCTAGAGCCTACTATAAAGTGCTTTTGAACAAATGCCTAGACTATGAATTAAATAATCGTGCAAAAGATGATTTCTCGTTGAAAATTTTAACGAAAAATACAAACGATTTATTAAACGATTGTGTTTTGCGTTGGAGAGTTCCAAATGGATATCGTGCTTTGCTTTATGTTGATGCTCTTAGAGTTAGATATGACGATAATCATAAACTAATAACCTTGGAGCATATCAGAGAAGGAATGCATCTATTGAAAGAAGCTGTTAAAAAACGAGATATATCAATATGGACACTAAGTGATGTAAGTATCATGCTATTATTAATATTTTTGTTTGACCTTTGGATTTCTATATCTTTAATGATATTATTATTTTAGCGAGAAGAGCTTGTCGGAGTTTATGAAGGAGTTCATTCCTCTCTACTACGATTTCTTTGGGAAGCCCTTCAACATCTTTATAAGATTAAAACTTCTTCTTTTGATCCAGTATTATTTTTGCTTAGTGATATTTACGAAAGCGAACTATTCCGTCAGGCTTATCCTGACATATCACCAAGTTATGAAAATATACGAGAGGGAGTCCGGGTATGCTACCTAAATTTTTTATATAGACCAAATTCATTTAAGAATTTAAAAATTTATTTGCTTTCGCTATCCTTAGAAAGTAGCCGTGACTGAATTTCAAAAGAAACAAGAAGAATTAGCCTCTAAACAAGAAGACAACGAATTGGTTGTTTTGATAGAGTTGACGCAATTTATTCAAGATCAAATCGTGAAATTGAGCAAAAAGTATCCAACACCGCTGATGGGGTTAGTAATCAATCATTATCTGCCGATGGTTTTTTTTTAAAAAACGAAAAATAAATTAACTATATTTTTTAATGTAGGCAAGTTAACATTTTAGGATTAGTCCTTGAGAAACAAGTTCCATTATTCACACTGGATATGGAGAATTTAGCAGCTGATATTTTAAATCGGGTTAAAGCCGGAGGAGACGAGAGTGGAATCTCGGTTACAGATATTTTTGAGCTATACCGCGAAGTCTTAAGTATTAAAGGATTATATGAAATTCATTGTTCGGGGTATGACTAATTTTATTTTTTATTGAGTCGTATTTTTACTTTGAGACAATTTATTAAATATTATTATTGTCTGTACATATTCAGAACAAAATTCAATTTCAGTATTGAAGAATGGTTCCGCCCTCACGTGCTAAAATGGCTAGAAATGACGGATAACAGGACACCGGAATGGGTGCATTCAGCTATTAGCGTTGACGAGGTTTGGCACATTGTTCATCAAACTTTACAATAGTTGTATTACTGCAAACCGAGTATGTAGAAAATAATTCGTTATTATTGTGATATATACCAAAATAGTTTAAACCTATTAGCTCTACAGATCGACATTCTTCTTCTGTAGTGGATCTATTTACCTCGTTCAATCAGACGATCGAATTCTTGAAGCGATTAAACTGGCCTAATGAATACCAGTTTGCCCGATTTATGACTAGTTTATCGAGAGTGAGTATCAAATTTAAGCGTAAAAATTCTTGATCGTTAAGTATTTATTTTATTCCTCATTGAATATATAGACAATAAGCAAAGCATTGGATCAATATTGCGTCAAAATGGAAGCTTTGTTTCGTTCTGATATGTTCCCGGAGGAGGAACATGCTCAGGAAACTCAAAAACAATCTGCCTGGTATGTTCGAGCAAAGACAGCGATTGCTAGCGATGAAAAAATCATTCCTTTTGATTTCAAACCAGAGGTATTGATCGAATTCATGTTTCCTCGTTTCATATTTTTTCGCATTTTTTCAAATGGATAATAACATGATTGTTTCATTTTTCAGTTATGTATCAAATTAAATAATCTCGAAGCTGGTCGTGACCAATTAGATAAACTTTACTACTCGATCGATGTAGATTATTTATCCGAAGTGATACGTGATGCAGGACCCGCAGTTCCCGAAAAAGTAGAAAAAAATCGATACCTCTTCACTATCAAGATTGTGCTCGCCGAAAATATCGCTGCGCTAGATGCAAATGGCTACAGTGATCCATATTGTGTTTTGTCTGATGAAGTCGGAAAATCGTTGGCTAAAACACGTGTTATTTATGAGACGCTCAATCCTCGATGGGACGAAGCATTCGATATCACGATCGAGACTAGCGAGCAAATGCGATGGGTTGCAGCGACAGTATGGGACAGAGATCAAGTTGGCTCTGATGATGTTTGTGGACGAGCTTATTTCAGACTTGATCCGCAATACTTTAATGATTATTTGGCGCACGATGTGTGGCTTGATTTGGAGAAACAAGGTCGCTTGTTGTTACGTATTAGTATGGAAGGGGAAAGGGATGATATTCAATTTTATTTCGGAAAAGCTTTCCGTACGCTTAAACGTACTCAGAGTGATATGGCTCGAAGTATAGTTGACAGGGTAAGTAAATGTTGATTTGGACATTTTTCGTCAAAAAAAGTAATTTAACCATTAAATTATTGCTCCTGTCTCTATTTAGATGTCACCATTTTTACGACAATGCTTATCAAAGGACATCATAAACAAGTTGACGAAATCTTCGGGTGGTTTAAGTGGATTTTTCAGTGATAAGAAAAGAGAACCTTTAACAGATGTAGTAGTTGAGGAAGCCATATATCCTCTCTTCGATTATTTCGACACAAATCTGCAAACATTACACGCTAATTTGAACGAAACTGTAGTCAACATGGTAATCACCAAAGTGTGGAAAGAAATCGAGATGACTCTGGAAGAACTATTGGTACCCCCGTTATCCGATCGTACTTCAGATATGAAGCCTTTGAATGATATGGAAATCGATGTTGTATATAAATGGCTTAAGGTAAGGTAAAATATATGTGTGTATTTAGTGAATAGTATGTAAATTTCTAAATTATTGTTATCGTAATAGTTCATGAAACAATATCTGCAAGGTGATAATGACGGCGGAGTACCAAAAGACTTGCTCGAAAACCAAAAATATCACGAACTAATGGCAATCCGATACTTTTACGACTGGGATACCGAGCAACTCATGCAAGAATATCTAAGCGTCGTAATTCAAACCTCATTAACCCCGTCAAACAAAAATTCCGCGCAAAATAAATCTGTAATGAATCAACGAAGTCTCGGCACCATAAAGAAGCGCAAGACTGAGAAGCGTAAGCAACCCCACTTGCAAGCTAACGGTGAGATTATTTTGCGTATTTTACGTATGCGATCTGGTACCAAATCTTTCTTGAAACAGCAATTCGAAGAACGTGTTAAGCGGTCGCAATCTGCTGGCCCTTCGGCATCGACTACTGATGAGGGAACGGTCAAGCAGGATGGTGGTCAGCAACAGGATTCGTGATAGTGATCATTGATGAACATTCATTAATACTTTACCTAATTCATACATAATGATTTGACGCGCCATTACCCTTATTTAAATATCTATTTTCATTTAATTCATTTCATTTTGTTTGCCCCATCTTGTTGTATATAATATATTCTTATCATGTACTGTATATGATGATTATAACTAGCTAAATATATAAAGTTGATTAAAAATATAGAGCTTAAGTATGCGAAATATCTTTAATCTATAAATTTTGTGACAATGATATTCTTACAAAGTGCAACCTATATGCCACGTATACCTCTGATTGAAGTGTTTTGCGCGAAAATGGTATATAGTAATAATACAGATAAATGCACCCTCTATAAGGCACATCCCACACTCTGGCTCGGTCTCAAGTTATAGTCTTAAATCTATTTTCTAATTATAAATGCACGCTTGTATCTGGTGTATTTGATCAGTGTTGACCGAAAGATTCTAAATCCATATATATATATGGATATGTCCACATTATAGAGATTTGCCTGTAATTTATTGCAGACCAGACAAAGCAATAAAAAATTTTCAGGGGGCTAAACGCCATAGTAGTGCCTCAGTTTTCTCTTCGAGGTCTACCTCGTGTTAATGACGAAAAGCAGATATCCCGAAATCTGTCGATATTTCAACACGGAAATCTACAGATTGAAATTATCGGGTTGTTTGAAAAAGTTTGGCGACAATATACAGATTTTTACAAACACAAAAAATACGCGGGTGTTGGATCAGCGATGATTCTCAAGTAATTTTCTATACAACACTTATATTTTTATCTGATTGTGACAATATCCATAATAAAATTGATAATACTGATTTCAAATTAATTCTTTTTGTTTTAAGAAAAGATAGGAAAAAGAAAGGTTGTTCCCAAAAATGTAAAAGACAACTTAGAAGATTAAATTAGATTAGATTATATTATATTACATTAAAAATTACTACTAAATAATAAAATTACATAATTATACAATCCTCAGCTCGCAAACCAAACAGTTGTTTCTCGACCTCTTTTTTGACAGACAACCAATCCTCTCGTTTAAGACAAAACTCATAGACATCCTCCGCGCGTAAAACACCATTAAATCGGTCTGCCTCGCGAACAAAAAGTCCAATGTCTTTAGCACTGGAAATTATGTAAATATTTCCTAGCTCTTTTAACGCGATGATGTATGACGTGATTTCGTTCTGTTTAAGTGAAGTCAGAAATGCACAGTAATGGTTTAGGTCACTAATTAAATAATAATAATAAAGTGCGATGTTAATTTAATACAAAGGATTATTAAACTTGAATATAACAATAAATTTCTTTTGTAACCTATATGTACCTTATAACTTGAAATCCACCAAGTATGTTTACAACGAATTTTTTTAAATGTTTTGTTAGAATTCTAATTGAAAACAATAAAGATTTTAATAATTTGTTAATTGTTTGATACAATATTATTTTGTCTTTATTTCATAATTGCATATGTTGACAAAAGTATCATACCCAAAAACTCTCAAGCCAATCTCTTGGAAAAAGACATCCAAGGTATTTTTATCCGAACAGCCAACTACCAATTTAGCGTGGCTCGATAGACAATCAACAGCATTGATACACGCCTAAAAAGTTACGTGCATTTTATATAATGAAAAATTCATACAAGCGGGCAATAATATTTCGTTCCTACCTTTGTAGGTTTCAAATCTAAATTCGCGTTATCCTTTGGCATGAATTCTTCAGGTTTTTGTTCCGTAGCCAAAATAAACTCTACTTGGTCCGTTAATACCTGTAAAGTCAAGTAATCGTCAGTCAGTATCAATTAAAAATTTAAAATAAAAATCTTGTTGAAAAGTAATTGATTCAATTTCTTACCTGAATACCTTTATTCAGACCAGCTGCTACACTTTCATCTAATAGTTTTTCAAATTTCTTTTTTTCTTCGTTACACTCATTCAAAAAGTCATCTTTATCAATAAACCGGCACTATTAAAATAACGTCAATTGAAGGAGATTCCAATTGATAAACTAATAAAAAAAATCGAAAGTAAAAACAAAACCCTAAAAACGAACCATTTCCTCATCATAATATACTTGCAACATCTGTTGTATTAAATCCGCGATATGCACCAATTCAAAAAATTCTACCAAGGGAGCTAAACCTTGCGACGTAGACTCTGCATCAGGTTTATACTCACCCAAGCGTAGAACTGCACTAATAAAATATTAATACATCAACAGCAAAACAAAAAAAAACTTCATCGTATATACACAATTCAAGAATTAACTCACGTATCAAATCCCGGTTTTATGTGCATCGGACCTAACGTTTGCAGCAGAGTTATAAAAATTGATTCAAGGGTTTCTTGTCTAAAATGAATTGAGTTATCACATGTTGAATCAAGAAAGCAAATAAAACATGTGGACACAAACATTGCTTACACTTTCACCCCCATACGATCAGGATATCCTACAAAGGTGCCCACTCTTCGTAAAGCATCTTTATTAGCATGAACCAATTGTAAAGCTGTTTCCACACTCAGAATCTTTTGCAGCTTCTCAAGACGAGCATTCCACAATAGTGCCTCTTGTAGTTCGGAGGCACTTATTGGACTTTGTGGAGAATTTAAAGAGCTCTGGACACTTGCCGTGCTACTTCTTTTATCGTGCGGAGATGCACGAGAGGGTGGTGTGGTATTAGGATTACGCGAACGAGATGTCGAAAGTTTTAATATTTTACGAAAAGAAGAAAGATAATTTCGTTTATAGATTTCATGATTGCCGTTGTTTAACAGTGCTTGTTGTTGAGCTTCTGCTTTTTCGTTTACCAACTAATACATTAGGATTTTGAACAATTAATTTTTAGTCTCATTATGATTAAATCAAAGCCAAAACCTTTATACCTTTTTATTCCACTTATCAATTTCTTCTTCACATATTACTCGAATTTCATCCAATTCTTCATTCAAATATCGTTCCATCATTGGTTCAAACATTTGATACATTAAATCTTCGGCCTTGATTTTATCAAGCCCGGGTTTCGCTTCTTTCCAAAGAACCAGAGCGGTGTGCTGACAAAATTGATGGGCGGCCACAGTGGTCTTAAAGTAGACCATCTTGTCCCGATTATGAGCCTCTTCTGAAAGAATGTACACGTATTCTGTAACCTTGAGATATAAATTTTCGATTTATTATCAGAGAATATAAATTAAAAGCTTAAACATGTTATAAGAGCATTACTACTTACAACATCTTCAATTACGCGCTCGACAAATGTATAAAACACATTTGCCGATTGCGGGAAAACCTGATCAATGACCGAGGCTTGCTTTATGAACTCATCCTCGACAGATTTAAAGAATTCAGCCATTGGAGCATAATTCAGTTCACCAGACGTTGGCACATGTCTTTAAATAATAATAATAATAATAATAATAATCGAAGAATGGTCAATAAAATGATAGCTTAAAAAAAAGAATTCACTATACTTACAGAAAATTATCCAATGGATCATATAAATGATCAAAAAAGATAGAGTTTTTCTGTATAAACACTTGGATACATGATACACCTTCATTCAATTCTAACAGAAGAGTCGCCCATTTCTTTAGAGAATACCCGTGAATTTAAATTAAAATATGACCAGAGTTTCGAGAAAGAATCAAATTTGTCACAGAAATCTACCTTCATTTCCGAATAATTGCTAGCATTATAACCTAATTCGAAATTATGGAGTGCCATGTTTTCACAATACTCTACCGTTGTCTCTAATACACTATTAATCTATAAAAACCAAAATGCGTCAGCTCCTAGGATTTCCGTGTGCCTTTTTACGAATAATCTTCGTAATCTTACCTTACTTGAGTCGGATGTTATGTTATAATTGCCAAAAATCGTTAACCTTCTCAACATTTTAGCCTGATCTAAAGGATCAGCAAAATCCTTGTAAAGTTTACTATCTTTTCGCTTATGCCGGAAATCCAAATAATATGGTAACAATTCACTATAAATTTCTTTGAATATCGATCTAGTTATCCCGGTCGATGATCTTGACTTTTGAGCGAATAAATCATAAAGTCCCGGCATTAAACTCAACGATTTTCCTGAGAGAAGCCCAAATTCGAATAAATGCCTTGCAGCACTATTACTAAGCGTTTTGGTTATTTCCATGGTTGTTGAGTTTGACACGGATGAGTCTATTGAAGATTTATTGTTTTTACTTGTTTTTATAGGTAATCCATTAGAATTGTCTATATTAGAATTTATAGAAAATCCTAATTTTCTTAAATGATGTTCCCATATTTCATCATCTGAAACTAACACTTTGAAGCGTCGACAAACACGCGCGAAATTGGGAAGTGAAGTTATTGGAAGATATTTTATAATGCGAAGCAATAAATCTGGTGGCAGAGATGATTTTACTTGAGGCGATGAATCTAATGGTAGGGATGGTTTTGCTCGAGGCATATTTATCGCCGAAAGAACTGGCGTAACTAGACCCGGAGGTGGTGAGTCAAAGAAGTCGAAGTCATTCATACTGGGAATGTTATCTATAATGATGAAGTATCTTCGGGCTAATTTATTATCAAAACGCGAGCAAAAAGTGTCTATTCACTAGAATTTTTTGCTCAAGTCAGACTATCAGACTATATTTCTTATATTCAATATAAAATATTTTGCTCCTCTCTTTTAAAACTCCAAGACTATTTCACAGCTCAACGCGCGTAATTAGTGGCTAACTTGATGGCAAAGTTTTATTAGTTTTATTCTGCCATATTACGTCATAATGCAAAATCGATCATATTTGAATTATCTGCATCTACAATTTTTGTCAGAATGGAGCAGTCAAAACGACGAAAGTTGGATAAAAAAGCTAAAAAGAACTTAAAAAAGGAAAGGCCGGATTTGTCTAAAGTTGAAAATAACATTGAAAGGGAAAAAGAGGACGCTTTGAAGGTGAACAAAGAAATTGGCGAGTTAGCAGAGAGTCAGGGTAAATGAGTCATGAGGTTACTTTTTCTAAGCTCCCGGCATTCGTAATAATTTAATTTTCTAAAAGAAATAAATAGTGAAAATGATTTAAAAGAAATCGAAGAAAAAGCCAATGAAGAGGACGAGTCCTCAGAATATGACTCGGAAGATATTATAGCGGGGCAAAGTTGAGTTACCATCTATTCTTATACTCTATCGGATTATTGCTTATTGCTTATTGCTTATTGAAAATCATATAGAAAGAAAAAAGTCGTCAAGAAAGAGTACATCTACTGCTGATGAATTTGCAGAATCAATGAACAAAATTCTATCGAGTCAAGTAAAAACCATCAATCAAAAGGTCTTTTTTCAAATTATATTTATACTTTCTATTTTTAATGCTTGATCCTTGTAATCAGATCCAATTGAATTTAATAACTAGGCACCGATATTATCTAGATCAAAAGGAATAGAAAAAAGAATAGACGAAGAAAGACTCGAATATCGAGCGCGAAAAGCTTTGAACGCCGAAAAAAAGAAATTTGCAGCAAAAGATCGCGTTCCGGCTGATTATAATACCGCAGATCATGAAAGAAAATTAAAGAAAGTTGCTACTCGAGGTGGTATGTGCCATCATTAGTTATGAAATCTAACACTTTTACACTTGAAATTATTAATTGTTTTTTGTCATGAATTAAAAGTCGTAAAATTATTTAACGCGATTCGTGAAGCACAAAAGACTGCTGAAGCTGCTGAAGTTGTTGGCGGTGGCAAAGATAAATTGTCGACGAGGCAAGCTAAAGATGGTAATGTAGACTATTTCTTTGTATAGAGACCTTTAGTATTTCTAGTAATCTCTTAATTTTATTGAATTAAATATAGTTGCATCAATGTCAAAGGCTACATTTCTTGATGCGTTGAAAGGCGGAATACATTAAGAATATTTTTTAGTATATAATTTTTAAAGCTTAAAAAGGATAACCAATGTAATGTGACGAGGATATATTCGATCGCATGGACGTAAATTGTCAATAAATACATAAAACTCAAACATCATTGACAAGTGTAAATGTAGACTGGCATTATTGTACGATATAAAATGAAAGATCGAGTGTAGGTAGTATTATGAAAATGCATCGAGTAATATTAAAATTTGAACCGAAGGCGCATGAAATGAAAGATTACGTAAATAACGAATAATTTAGATATAGCGATAGTAAAATGATTAATATGTAGTGTAAATTAAATATTATGCATTTTCGCTCGAAAAATAAAAGCATTATCACCTTATCAATCTTTGGGCCATTAGCGAAAAAGCATATCGATATTTAATTAATTGTATCAAATTCATTTGATTATGTTTAAAAAAAGAAATGGAACAAAGATCATAATGGGGTAAATTTAATAAAACACTACTATATGAATATTATACTTGCGAAAATAATTAGTAATTTTTCTACTAAATTTGAGCTTTAAGGATAATTATAAGTATTTCATGTAAAAGTTTAAAATTACTTGGAATTCATATAGTAAATGATTTTTGTTATCACTGATTTAATATCTTTAACGAAATCATTCTCAAATCCCTTTCCCATAAGAGTACGCATAAAAATCAAGCTCAATTCAACGAATTTCTTGAAATAGCGACATTTTTTCAACTTTTTCCTATATGCCCTCGGCCCCTCTTTGAATCGAGGTCTGACTGTAATTGTATAATAAACGAAATAAAATAAATGTTGATTCGTTATATCGATATGAAATAACAAGGTTTTATAAGAAAATTTATCGTTATTATTTATTTGACTGGATAAAATCTCCACTATAATATATAAAGAAAAGCGAGTATGCAGAAATCCATAGTTTTTCCAAACCAGAACAAGATATATATATACGTATATATTATGGCCCAAAACTACGTAAAGAAGTGCGAGTCAGAAATGCATAGTTTTCCAAACCAGAACAAGATATATATATATATATATTATGGCCCAAAATTACATAGATAAAGAAGTGCGAGTTATTGTCTTCACAAAGAAGTGTATTTGCAGGTTTAGAAATTATTTCGTATGTATAATAAAGTATTCTACCATTCTTGCTTTTCACTATTCATATTTTCGTATAAGCTAAACCCGTATTTTCTTCATGCATTTTATAACATTTCTTATTATCATGCCATTAATAATAAAAGCTCAAATTACTTGTCAAGAGTTTGCGTATAGATAATCAATATTTCGAACGCTTGATATATTGAATCAGTTGATGTATGATGCTATAACGATAAGTACATAACGATAATTCAAATACTAAATCAAATAATAAATCAACTTTGAAATGTTAATTAAATTTAGTCAAAAATTCGCTTATATTACTATTTGTATTTGATTGTTCTTTTCGTCTGTTTACACACCTAGAGATGATTTTAGATGGTTTTAATCTTGAGGTTCTAGTAAACTCTTCAATACTCCGAGAATATCGCGAGCCAGCTTACAGTTACAAAGTTTGTCTTTTTCAAAAAAGATATTCCTTTGTTGTTTTTTAAATTCTATTTTTTAAAATTCTAAATATGTGTCTTTTATTTATTAGTCTTCTACGGGTCCTTCTTATGTGTATATTAGAGGTAAATCGAAGAAATTCGAAAGGTGAAATTATGGTTTTTTTTCGATCTTCTAATTATCAATAATATTGCCGCATTCTATTAAAGTGAAATACACTAATAAATTAATGACAAAAAAAATAGTCCTGATAATTTTTATGTTGCCGTACCTGAAGTAGAATCTCGCTTTTCGTTGAGATTCGGCTCAGCCATCGCAACACTTGCAAACCCTATTGTCGTCGAGATCTATGTGGATGGAAATCACGACTTCACCTATGACTGTTTAGTTGGCCCAGTTCAAGCCGAAAGAGATGGATTTTGGAATGCAACTCGCGACAAAAAAGCTTACTTTAAATTCTCGAAAACTCGGTGGACCAATGACGAAATCAACAGCAGCGATCCAATTGACAACTACACAAATAATAATACTCCGAAAAAGGGTGGCATTGGTGCGATCACATTGATTTTCTATCTTGCTAAACGCGTCCGGATCAAAAATGAAGCTCCTTTCAAATTCACTTTGGAAAAAGTCGCAATACCCGAGTCAAAAGAAAACAAAGGGATCGAGTTTTCTACCGAATTTGAAGAGGGACCAGAGTCACCACCGTCGGATATTAAGGAGGGAGAGTGTTCAATGAAACCTGTGGATGACAATCCCATCGCTGTTTTGAATATTCATTATCGTCCGATGAATTGGTTAATCGCTTGTGGAATAACTGAGCTTAAAATTTATCCAGATATTTCTACCGATGATATTATCGATATTAAAGATTTTCAGCCACTGCCATTAACAAAGAAAGACGATTCTGTGAATAGTATAAAAGTGGAGGAAGATGTTGTATTTGTCAAAGACAAAGACTCAAAGAGTGAGTCGTCATCGTTATCGTCGTTAGTCAAAGACAACATTAAAAAGGAGGAAAATCAAGCTTTGAGGAAGCGCAAAGATTCGTACGTAATTATAGATTTGACAGTTCCGAATAAGAAAGTAAAACAAAAATATCAGGAAACTATCATCATATTGGATTCGGACAATGAATAAAAATTATATACTAGCTCATTATAAACAAAAAATGTACTTATGCATTTATTTAGTTAGTTCTTTTAGCTGTACTAGTAACATTTTCTCTATTTTTTCATATACTCATCATAGTGTAAATAAATAAAAATAACAATAATTTATAGGTCATTATAAATGCGCTCATTTTCCCAGATTTGAGGGACTAATAATGATTCCAATGGTACCAAATTACAATAATAATCTAAAAAATTTCTTTTCGTAATCGTTTTTAATAATGTATTTTTTGTATTCGCAAACATTAATACCCGTCGAAAACTATCACCTAACACTCGTTCATTTTCGCAAAATATTTCGATAATTATCGACCAAATCTCAAAGGGCCACGTAAATTTCTTTTGTTTCTTTGTTGGATTATTAAACAATAAAGCCCTAAATAATCGTAATAGTTGGCCTGCCGCAATTGCATTATTTTCTCGGTAGATAATACTACGAGACATCAAATTTTGAATCGAGCTCACCAGTTCTTCGATGATCCATTCCCTACGAACCGGTGTTTTTACATGACTCGCAATACTTTGATCAAATGAGAAATTTTCCAAGCGAGTATTATCCTCCAAAACACGTCGTAAATTGACTAAATGATTAATTTCAATTTTGATTTTTTTATAGCCAGAGGGTTTCATTGATAATTCAACTAATGTTCGATTCGTTTTTAACGCTTTTGTCATCGCGCTGACGACTTTTGGGGTTATTTCATTAAAGGAAATGTCTAACTTTGATATTTTTGTGTTTGTTGCTAATGCTTCGCCAAGTCTTATTAATGATGATTTTGTGAATTTATAATTTACGATCTTTAGATTGTTGATGTTCACTTTGTTTTCCGAAACTAGACGTAATATTTCATCATGTTGCGCACATAATATCTCGTCGTTGACTTCGTATGAATTTTTATCGGGTTTTCGTGTGAATTCGATTACATCGAATTTTCGTGTTGTGCATTGATTTAAAGCGTCTACCAATTCCTTTACGTCGTCGACTGTGGTAAATTCGTCACATTCTTGTAATGTAGTTTCCTGGCATTCAATTGACTCGTGGAATAGTTTGCCACAAATAACACAATATGACGGTAAAATCCAGTAATATCTTGAATCATTAGATTCCTCCTCATTTTTCTCTAATGAAACAAATAAGCTTTCACGACATCCCATCATAAAATATAGCAACGTCTCTTGCGACACGGTGCTTCTATTAGCAACGTCCAAATCTGCATGGTGTCTTGCGTCGACTTCAAATCCTTTCAAATAGGCTTCTATTCGACGATTTGATAGCGTGTTTAGCGGTGCATTGTTATGACTGATTATGTATGAATTGTAAATCGTTGGATCTATTTTTTGTTTAGCAATCAAGAAATGTGAATGATTTTGTTGAATATGAATTTCATTTTATCGTTATTGTTAAAAATAATTTACCTGGATCAAATCGTTCAAACTTATTCAGCTGTTCTGGTTCTACGAAAAAATCACACAAATTTTCAGCTTCGCCAAATATGTCCATTTCATCTTTAATTTCTTTTGTTGTGGTAGCGGATGTATTTGATGTTAATGTATCGTTGTTGGATTCTTGGGGAATTGACGCAAGATTTGCCATTTTTGAAAGATATTATATTATTATTATTATACACAAGGTTTTTTGTATTTACAACTAATGATTATTGTTGTCGTTTTCTTTGGTTGAAACTAATCTTCTCTTTTTATAAAAACGTCCACTAAACTGCGGAAATCTGCGGACGATGGTGATGGTGATAGCGATAATGATTGCTGCGACTTGTTTACATGGTGATTGTAGTGCAAAATTTAAATTAATTAACCGCAGATATACGAATCAAAATTTCTCTAACATTAACGTTAAAAAACAGTATTTCTCCTCAAATATACTAACGCTAATAAAATTTATTAAATAGTAGTGTCAATCTCTCGCAAATCACGACTTTTTTATTAATTAATAAATTATCTTTCACATAATATCTTTGACATAATCTATTAATAGATTAGTACTTGGTTCGACCACCATTAGCAAGCAAGCATAACATCATGAATTTGATTAAACGTTAAATTTTTATAAAATAAAACGGCCACTTTTGGACGCGATATCTTGGCATCCAATGAACTGTCTTGAACGTAAACACCACCATTCGATCCGTCTGGATAAGATGAATCAAATGGTGGTATTTACGTTCAAAACACTTCACTAGATGCCAATATACTCTGACCCAAAGTGACTGTAATATTTTTTTCTTGGATGCAGTATCTTAGTACCCAGTGAGCTTTTTTGAACATAAATACCACTATTTGATTCGACTTATCCAGACAGATCGAATGGTGGTATTTATGTTTAAAACAGTTCACTGGATGTCAAGATATCGCGTCAAAAAGTGGCCGTTTTATTTTATAAAAATTTAACGTCTAATCGAATTCATTTGCTAATGGTCGAACCAGAACTAATCTATTAATAGATTATGTAAAATAAAAGTTTGTTATTTTACTTTTAGTCGTCCTCTGTATTTGAACAAAGCAAGGCAAGAATTGAAAATTGAACTGAATTTTATATTTATAATTAGAACTTTTTATTTAGATGAAAATAAATAATTTTATTTATCTGAGAAAATTCTGATATGAATTTAAGAACTTGTAGTGGAATAAGATCAATAAAGACAACAATTTTTTAATGATTTATTTTTCAACAAACTGCTTCAATACAATAATGAACTATTAGAAGTTTGATATTGTTACATAACAAACTTTTTATGTATTTATTGGATAATAGAATATTAAAAGATTATTATAATTTTATTGAACAATAAGCAAGATTTACAAAACAAAAATGAAAAATTCAGTTTTAAAGTCAACTTTGAAGTTTTAGTTTTAATTTGTAATTAAATTTCTTATCTTTGTATTTTATATTTCTTTAATAAATAAATTGGTTAACAATATTATTTAATGCATTATTATTTAGTTTGTTATTTTGATTTAAATATATTATTTGAATTTTTAATGATTTTTTTATATTTAATTACTGTTTTAATTATCTAATTTATTACCAATTATATCATACTAAAATAATAACAATATAAATTTTTTTAATTAATTGAAACAAAAGAATTTTTCTTTTGTAATTGATTATTTAATAAGTTTTCAAAAAATCTGAAAAAGTTTAGTATCAAAAATTGATAATTAATATTATTTATTCGGATTATATTACAACTTGAATATTGAAAATAATTGAAAACAAAAATTTTATTTTTTATTAACAAAAAACAAAAATTCAATTATTTTTTTGACAAAGAAAATAATTGGATCAAAAACCAATTATTCAAGCTTTCTTAGTAAAGAAACAATTAAAACTCAAAATTCTGGCTGTTCAAAAATAAAAAACTGTTAATATCTTTAATTTGTTGATTTAGTTATAGATTTAAAGCATTAATTCAAGTACTAATATAATTAATATATATAAAAACTCGAAAAATAATAAGTAATATTAGAATCAAATCTTTTATAATTGGAAAAATTAAATTGAAAAATTATAAAAAAATGTAAAAATCTTAATTTAATTTCAAATTTGACAATTCAATGAATTCAGTTTCTTAAATTCTATTATTTATTGATCAAAAATCACATGAAAATTATAAATAAACTAAATCTTGATTTCCGTGAATCTATGGCGCATATCATATTGTTAAGATTTTATTCTTAATTTGTTTAAAACTGGAAAGCTTTGGACAAGATTTTATGACTTACTATAAATCAGATTTGGATATTCTTGTAGAAAAATAAAAAAATGAATAAATAAATTAAGGTTTAACTTTCTACAAAAGGCAGTGCTTTACGGTAATGATAGCAGAAACACATTGTCGATCACCAAACATAATAATTTAAAATAAAGTAATAAAATCAAAATTTCGTACAAAAGAAAATAATTTTTATATTAAAATAAAGTAAAATCATTGTCATTATTACGATTAATTAAAAAGTTTTCAAAAAGTCAGATGTGACTTCACGTAATTTCTTATCAGTAGTATCGGATATTTGTCCGTCTTTTCTAATAGTCTCTAAAAGATCGGAATGATTAGCGACTAAAAATGGGATGAAACCGTGCTCAAATTCGATCACTCGTTTACTCTCGATCTTATCCAAGAAACCATTGACACCAGCGAATATGAGTGGTACTTGATGTTCGACTGGCAATGGTTGATATTGTGGTTGCTAGATATTTTAATTATCGCAAAGCAGAAGATATTTAGTTTCATTGATTATTAGGGATAAATATATATTCCGTCGAAAATTGAGCATACCTTGAGTAATTCTGTTAGACGTTCACCACGATTCAGCAAGAAACGCGTCGACGCATCCAAATCAGATCCGAATTGAGCAAACTAGACAAAATAAAATTAAGTCAGATTCTTTCATTTACTAATTTATTCGTTTGAATACTTACAGCAGCGACTTCACGATATTGGGCCAAGGTAAGTTTAAGAGTACCAGCAACTTGTTTCATTGCTTTTGTTTGAGCAGCACTTCCTACTCTGCTTACCTAATTCACGTTTTATTTTTATTGGTTATTAATAATATGATAAATTGTTCAATCATTATTAAAATCGAAATAGAGAAAAAAACCTACAGATAAACCAACATTGATAGCAGGTCTCACACTAAAAAAAGAAAAAAACATTATTAAACATTTAAAATACAAACGCCCCAAAAATCACAATGGCAATAATTAGAAATCATCTACAAACCCTTTAAAGAACAATTCAGCTTCCAAGAAAATTTGTCCGTCCGTTATAGAAATAACATTTGTAGGAATATACGCAGACACATCACCACCTTGCGTTTCAATAATGGGCAAAGCGGTCAAAGAACCAGCTCCGTGTTTTTCATTCAATTTAGCGGCACGTTCCAATAGACGTGAGTGCAAATAAAACACATCACCGGGATAAGCTTCACGGCCTGGTGGACGACGTAGCAGTAAAGACATTTGACGATATGCAACAGCTTGTTTTGATAAATCATCGTAAATAATTAATGCATGTTTGCCATTATCACGGAACCATTCACCAAAGGCACATCCTGCAAAAGGTGCGATGTATTGAAGGGGTGCAGCTTCCGAAGCGGTAGCAGCGACGATAATCGAATATTTTAGAGCATCTGTGTGTTTGATAATAGTTAATATTAAATAAATAATTATATATATAATAATGGAAAGAACGAAGATAAAAAAGGTTACCATTCTGTTCTAATGTCTGCACTAATTGAGCAACCGTGGATCTTTTTTGACCAACAGCCACATAAACACAATAAAGCTTTTTGGTTTCATCATTACCGAAATTCCATTTCTTTTGATTAAGAATTGTGTCAAGAGCAACTGCAGTTTTACCGGTTTGACGATCACCGATAATTAACTCACGTTGACCTCGACCAATCGGAACCATTGCATCGACAGATTTAATACCAGTTGACATTGGTTCATGCACCGAGCGACGAGGTAAAATGCCAGGTGCTTTTACTTGCACTCGTCTACGTTCCGCCGCCTCAATTGGTCCCTTGCCATCAATTGGATTTCCAAGTGCATCCACTACACGACCAAGTAGTCCCGGCCCAACTGGTACATCCACAATTTGTCCAGTTCGCTTCACTGTATCACCTTCCTTGATCAGTCTGTCGTTACCGAAAACGACAATACCAACATTATCAGGTTCCAAATTAAGTGCCATTCCCTGTTATCAACCACAGATTAATATTTTATTTTTATGTATTTTTGTATGCGTGTGTATTTGTGTATGTGCGTAAGTGAATATTAAAGACATATACATATTACTATGAAGATGCAATAAATTATCAAGATTTATCAATCGATGTTATCTTAAACATTTTAAGCCAATTAATAAAAACTAATCGATAAAGATTAATATAATTGATGGTTTTTGCTTGGAATGATCGATGAAAAATTATAATCAAAATCAAAATAATACCTTGATGCCACTTGAAAATTCCACCATTTCTTCCGCCTTTATATTTTGTAGGCCATACACACGAGCGATACCATCACCTATCGATAGCACACGACCAGTTTCTTCAATGTTCACTGTTGAACTAAGTCCCAAGATACGTTCTTCCAAAATAGAAGACACTTCAGAAGTTGAAGGTTTAGCGGAAGCATAGTTTCTAATAACGGTATTTGCGACGCATCGGCTTGTCGTATTCGCAAAGTAATTGCAAAAAACTCCAGTATTTGCTCGAATAGCGGGCTCAACCCGACGAACTATTGTAGAAGAAAACGGCGAAGAAACACGGACAGCATTTCTGAGCATTTTTATTTATATTAGCTGTGGCGATAGGTGTTGTTAGAAGAGAAGTTTGAAAAAAAAGTGCTCGAAGATCTAAACATGCTGATCGGTAATCTTTACCTTCTTTGGCGACATCTATATAATGATGGAAAACGTTATAATTAGCAAATTAGCATTAGCGCTAAATAAAAAAATTCGTTATAAACAAATGCTTTTTATTATTGTCGAGAATTTTTCAAAAGTTCGCAATAACCGAATCGCGTTATATAAGAGGATTGTTATATAGAGCTTTGACTGTATTAGTAAATTGAAAAATTCGGTTTATCGAGGTGTATTTATTATAACCATTTCTGGAACCAACTTCGGTTTATCCACCTTTTATTAATGCTTCGTTATGTCGAGATTTAACTGTACGCAAAGGAACTTGTTGACATTAAAGAATCATCCCAGAGAAAAAGTCCAAAAGATGAATATTGAGTAAAACAACAATCAAGGTGTAAGATTTATGCGAGATTAATGAATGCTTGTATCACAAAAACTTCCAGCTAAGGATGTATTTTGGACAATTCCATTTCTCAAGATTCATTACAATAATTATTAACATTATTCTATAACTGCGTATTCTCAACAGCGTGAATCTATAAATAATCACGTACAAACAATCGATCGTTATATTTATTTCATGCGTTAATTTTCATCACCAAATCATACGACAAAAACCAGTTGCTGTCATACGATAATCTTACATCTGAACTAATTTCGTGTGTGGGAGAACATTTATTGCATACATTATCCAAATTAATAGAAACAAAATCAGGTAATGAAGGATTTACGATTAGTCGCTGGATTATCTGTTGCGAATATTAATATTAACATTAACGTTAAAATGATGCAATCGTTTTCTTTATTGAAATCTTCACGGGATTAATTTATTTACTTGTATTTGATGCGACAAGAATGCTCACTATCGCTTTACAATGACCAGCAATTTGAGTAAAGTGTAAAAAACAATACGTAATAGATATCGCCAATGATGCACCACATTTTTCTTACTTGCATCAAATCAGACAATGCACGCAAGATAAGTAAGCAGCTATGTGTATATTTATAAGGTAAAAAAGGCGAATGGGTGGTTTTAATATTGTAAGAAATTACCAATATATTTTAAAATATAAATATATACAAGTCTTAAGCATATTTTATCTTTTTTATGCGTTTAAGCATGTTTTTTTTTGACTCACCACAATGCCATCCCATCCCATCCAATCCACCACAATACCCCCATTACCTTATTTACCTTATACAATGAGCGTGCCTATTGATATGTAAAAAGTAGAAACTTAAACCTTTTTCTTCTCTTATATATAATCGATTTATCAATGCTGATTACATGTGAAAGCATCGATTTTATTAATGTACACAAGCAATTCATAATTACTTTTGTTTAACGAAATGCGTGTCATAGAAATTGCATCAATAAATATTTGCTCGCTAAATAATCGATTAACTAAGTATCTCACCTGACAGATTCATTAAAAATTCCTTTGATCTCTCTTTCTTAAAGAGCTCGCGGCAATGCTTGGTGCTATCATGTTTATCTATCACAAAGAATCATTTCTGCGGTAGAGCTGAATGAATCAAATGGAAATGTCAATTTTTTTTTATCAAGGAATCGAAAAACTGTTTACAGGTGCCAAGAAAAACTCGATGATTTGATGAAAGTAGTTGGTTTAACAGTTTTTAATGGAAATTTATACTCCGATTATTTAGTATCCAATTATTTTTAACTCGTGTTCAAGCAAAAGACTCGAACAGATTAATAGTGATAGAAAAAAAAATGTGGACTTTTCCCTGAACTGCAGTTGTCATAATAGACAATGAAAGAAAGGGAAATCTTGAATCATTGTGCAAAGTCAACATTGAAAAGTGATGACATAATAACAAAACACCACATCTTATTATACCAAGCGCCTCTTTGGTTATTGAACCTTTTTTTTGTTATTTGATGTTAAGATGATAATGCACCTACATTATTTGCATAAAACCACGTTTCCTAATATTAAAAAATATGTTCTTGCCTTTTGTCACTGCACAATCAAATCATGCTCTCTTCCCCCCTTCCACTAAGCCATGATTTTTATATTTGTTAGTCGATCAATATTTATTTTTTATTATCACCTCAATATATAAAATAATCAAAAATTTTCTTTCTTATCATTATAGTAAATCAAATCAATTTACTTGTGATTTTCAGGAAAAACATAAACTATAAATAAATAAATAAATATAAATTAACCATTAATCAAACAAGGAACAGACAATTCAATTTTTTCATATTTCATATTTCGTCGTCATTGCTATTTTTATATTAGCAAACAAATATCAAAAAAAAAAAACGAGAAATTATTTTACTCATTATAATCATATATAACAATAAAAAATGTTGGAGACGGCAACAGCTTTCTATCATACAAATGGCCAACAGTCTAAAGGTTTACTTAGTAACATAACAATATCATCTACACTACCAGCTCAACTTTTACAACATTCTTTAGTAATGTTGCCATTTACCTCGCTATTTGGACAACCACCAACACCACCAACACCACCAACAGAAATCCTATCTACACCCACTGAACCCTCAGTTGATAATGATAATAACACAATTTCTTCCTTATCATCGTCAATCAACAACAACAACAACAATAATAATAATAGTAATAATAATAGCAGACGCTCAAACGTGCGACGAGGAAAATCTCAAGGTGTTAATGTGACGAGTAGTAATACTGCAGGAGCAGCAGGAGCGGCAGCGGCAGCAGCAGCAGCAGCAGCCACTCTACAGCAACAAAATAATCATACGAGACGAAAAAAATCAAATAGAATGAGCCGTAAACTGATTGATCAGTCAATTACTTTTTCTGCTATTGCTGTGGAAGAAGATCAACAAGGAAATCATCCATGTGCATTAGATTTATACTTGACTGCTCTCGAAAGTTTACTCTATGCAATGCCAAGTAAGTAAAGAATCTGCGTGAGGTGTTGTTTGCGCTATTTTATGTATCATGTGTATCATAAATGAATTTTCCCATGTATAAATATTTATTTTGATAGTTCATTCTGATGCGAAACGAAAGGAAGCTGTCAAACAAAAATTACGATCATATATCGATAATGTCGGTCTATCCGATGACTTTATTGCTCCACCGCAAAACACCACCTTAACCTATTCATTATACTCATCCAACAGTCCGACCGACTCGATATTCTCACCAACTAGCCCAACATCTCAAGATTACGAGAAACATCCCCAAGCTCAACCAGGTCCCTCCATCTCTGAATACATCATCAACGGGGCGATCAACTCTGCCGTTGCGCTAAAACAATCGCCAATTCCGGATGCGATATCCGCCACGATAAACTACACGATGAAAAAATTCAAGCAGATCGATGATACTTATGGGTTGCAGGAAAAGGCATGGGAAATTTCTCGAACTGGAATGACTATGGCGTTAGAGATTGATCAGCAATATAATGTGCACGAAAAAGTTGGAAATGCTATTTTTACAGGTTTGGCTGCGGCTATGAGAGCTGGAATAGCGTATAAGGATTCACCATCGTATCGAGAGTTGAAAAGGGTGAAAGATGAGTATCAATCGCTGTCGCAATCGCTGTCGCAATCGCAATCGCAATCGGAATCGCAATCGTAATCGTAATCGCAATCGTAAAAAGGCTCGCTTATCGAAATTTCTATCATTTCATATAAACAATGTATGTTTAGTCGAATATTTTTATTTAGTCTAGGTGACTTGTCCGTATATTATAGTTTTTGGTGTTCCCATTAAATTAATACAAACAAACAATATAGTTGGTAATTTTAGTTGCAGAAATAACGTGTCAGTAGAAAGATGAATTTGCTGATCCCAATTCTAATTTTTATTTCGATAAGTTTATTAACCAAAAATTTTAATACACACAATAAAGTAGTGAATTTGATTTTACCTTCAAAATCGACAAATGTAGAAGGATAGTTCTTTTCAAGCTGTTGAAATTTTGATGAAAGCGCCATTTGCAATTTGAGCTAATATTGGGAATTTCCGTGAATTTTCCGTGAATTATACAAATTTAGAAATTACCATGCTGAAAGCTGGTGATTAATCGAATTTTAAGAAGCAACAATGGAAAACAGGTGGAGTCTGTCTATTTTAATAAAAGAATTCTTTAAAAGGACTCTGCAATTATTCTATATAAATTCAAATTAATTAGGTTTTGTTTTTTTTCGTCGTCGTAGTAGTCAATTTTTATCTAATACACTTCCTCAATAAAGTTCACTGCAATTCATAAATATGTCAACTTTTTCATCCGGACCTTCTCCAACGTTTAAATTTCCATCAATTCCAACATCTTTTCCCTTCAACATTACAAATCCAATTAACATCAACATCACAAATTCATCACCATTAACCATGGCCTCATGCATAGTCTGTCGCGGTCATGCTGCCACTCTAAATAGCTGTTTAAATGGCAATCCGAATATTACAGCGCAACAATCTTTAATAGGAAAGGTATTTCAAAGCGGCGGGTTAAGTATAAACAGTACAGAAGACATCTCGCTCCCGGAACTACTTGCACCAGTAGCACAATGTGTGTGCATACCGACTTTTCCTCAACAATACAACGATTGTATGACCTGCTTCAATGGGACTGGAAAAATTCCTGCCTCGGGAAACACCACTTTTAATCTTGAGGATATAACAGCAGCGTGCCAAATAGAAGCACAGTTGTTAGCTAATACTACTGTAGTTGTTCCAAGTATCGGTAATAGCACAACAATAACAACTTCTTCTGCTCCTAGAAAATCATTTAATTCGAAAAAAGTTTTGGTTGCTGGGTTAACGATTGTTGCCTTGTTGGCCGGAAATTTATAACTTACTACGGTCAGGGCTTGATTTAGCGACTATGTGATTTAACGATGAATTTAATTGATTTAACGAGTATCGTAATTTGGAAATTTTTCTTATGTTTCCCGGGCACTTCGTTAAATCAAGCCCTGACTGTATGATGGATGTATTTTTTTAGTGGCATTTTTTCAATTAATTGTAGATTAGTTATAAAATATAGAATAAATATAGTACAAGCCATCCAATACTTTAACTGTATCGATATCCAAATACTTTAATTTAATGAGATCCAATTTTCAGCACTGGCTATATCACATGAACAATTTCTGATTGGTAGAATTTCTTCATGCAAAAAATACATGATTGCTTTCACATAAAAAATCACGTGAAACAAGATTCACATCATATGTAAATTCTAAATTCTAAATACTACATTTTCATTGGCTTCATGTGACCCATACCTGTGAAATTTTTTATGTTCGTCACTAAATGTTCAAAACATAAAAAATTACTAAGTTCGGTCGGCATTAAATATTCAAAATCGACAACGATAAATGCAGATCTGAAATAAATTATCCAGAGCGCGAAAAGAAAGTATTGCTGGACTTATTAGAGATTAAAAAACAAAATTATGTTTCTCTACAACCTTTCATTACAAGCACCAACAGCCATAAACGTGGCTGTGGTGGGTCATTTTTCTGGTACAAAGCAACAAGAAATTGTCGTATCAAGAATAACTCGGCTAGAACTTTTGCGAGCTGACCAAAACACGGGTAAAATGCAAGTATTATTAACGCATGACGTGTTTGGTATAATAAGATCTTTGACACCGTTTAGATTGACTGGTGGATCAAAAGGTACACTTTTGTTCTATCAAATATGAATGATGGTTTTTGATTTTTCGTGTGCTTAAAGATTTCGTATCGATATATAAAAAGATTACATCATTGTCGGCTCCGATTCCGGACGAATTGTAATTCTGGAGTATAATCCCGCGAGAAATAAATTTGAAAAAGTTCATCAAGAGACATTCGGAAAGTCTGGTTGTCGGCGTATTGTTCCTGGACAATATTTGGCTGTAGATCCTAAAGGAAGATCTGTTATGATTGGTATATAAAGCGTCGAATTCTCCCATGATCAAATTTATTTTAAGAATGCACTAATAATTAATTGAAATTTTTCAGGTGCTATTGAAAAACAAAAGCTTGTCTACATTTTGAACCGAGATTCTGCTGCGAATCTCACAATTTCATCACCACTCGAAGCTCATAAATCCCATACATTAGTGCATCATTGCATAGGATTAGATGTTGGTTATGAGAATCCAGTGTTTGCGTGTTTGGAAGTTGATTATTCAGAAGCAGATCTTGATCCAACAGGAGAAGCTTTTAATAATACGGAAAAGGTATCGTAAAAATCGTAATCAAATAAATTTTTGTTAAATAATTGAATACCACCAACCAGGCATATATATATATATATATACTATTAGATGTTAACATATTACGAACTTGATCTTGGCCTCAATCACGTGGTCAGAAAATGGAGTGATCCTGTAGACGAGAGAGCAAACTTGTTGTTTCCTGGCAAGTATTATTAAAATTTTTTACACCAATCGTACCATTTTACTTACTATTTTTTTATTTTTAGTTCCTGGTGGCAATGATGGACCCTCCGGAGTATTAGTCTGCACCGAGAACTTTATTTCATACAAACACCAACGTGTCGAAGAACTACGTGTTCCAATCCCACGACGCAGAAACCCTCTCGAAGATAAATCACGTGGACTTATTATTGTAGCCGGCGTAATGCATAAAATGAAAGGTGTCTTCTTCTTTTTGCTTCAAAGTGAAGAAGGTGATATATATAAAGTCACCCTTGATTATGAAGACGATAAGGTGAACGCCATTAAAATAAAGTATTTTGATTCCGTGCCTGTGGCGGCTTCGTTGTGTATACTTAGGGCTGGATTCTTATTTGTAGCGGCCGAATTCGGAAATCAGTATGTCTTCGTCGACTACTTTCTCTTGGTTGCCTTTAGCATCCTCATAGTATAACTTTTCCTTGTCAACATGCACATACACACATTTCTTCAGTCGATTATATTCTTTTACAAGTCTCGGTGATGATAATGATGAACCTGAATGGTCGAGTGAAGATTTCATCGATGCTGGTCGCGATATGGCTCCTGTTTATTTTACTCCGCGAGAACTGCAAAACTTGGAGCGTGCTGATGAATCGGAAAGTTTGAATCCTTTGATTGATGCAAAGGTATTAATTGATACTTATGGTTTTCCTATGCTTGTTGTTCTGCTCACAAAGGATGGTTTTGATTAAATTTTCGAAACATATGTATTATTAACCATTAATCTTAGGTGTTGAATCTCACTGACGATGATACGCCACAATTGTATGCTTTATGTGGAAGAGGCGCCGGATCTTCATTTCGAATATTGAAACATGGATTAGAGGTATCAGAAATGGCGGTATCCGAGTTGCCTGGCAACCCAAACGCTGTATGGACAACTAAACTAAGAGCGGATGGTAAAGTGGTTAATTTTATATTCGAAATAATATCAATTATTCGCTAAATGTTCTTTTTATTTGATAGATTTATTTGATGCATATATTATCGTTTCGTTTGTAAACGCTACCTTGGTATTATCAATCGGGGAAACTGTGGAAGAAGTTACTGACACTGGATTTTTATCTACAACACCAACATTGGATGTTCATCAATTGGGTGATGACGCTTTATTACAGGTGTGGATGTTTATCTAATGTTTTTTAAATACTAATCATTTAGTATTATTATAACACGTTCGACTTAATACTATACATAAATAAGATATACCCACAAGGAATTCGACATATTCGTGCTGATCGACGTGTAAATGAATGGAAAACACCCGGTAACAGAGCTATTATCAAAGCAACCACTAATAAACGACAAGTTGTGATAGCTCTTACGGGTGGGGAGTTAGTTTATTTTGAGCTGGATGCCCAAGGACAATTAAATGAATATCAAGATCGTAAAGAGATGGGCGCAAATGTTTCTTGTCTGAGTATCGGTGAAGTTCCCGAAGGAAGACAGCGATCACGTTTCTTGGTGTGTATTTAGAAATGTAAGTTTTTACACTTTCAGCAAAGAATTGACGTTATCATAATTTTCGATATCATTATTTTGAAGGCCGTTGGATGTGATGATCATACTGTCAGAATACTTTCACTTGATCCCGACAATACACTGGATGTGCTTAGTACACAGGTAGTCTTGTGCCAAGAATTGTACAAATTTTAATCTTATAATTAATTAGCTTACTTATATTTATAACTCTTTTTAGGCTCTAAATGCTCCACCATATTCTTTGTCGATTATCGAGATGATGGATATTGGAACAGATTCGATACATGGGACTCTTTACTTAAATATCGGATTACTAAATGGTGTATTATTACGAACGGTATTAGATACAGTTACTGGTGATTTGACAGATACTCGACAAAGGTATCCGCCATTCTTTTATGGGAATTTAATTCATTTCTATTCTAACCAAACTTTAAATTTAGATTTCTTGGAGCTCGCCCCGTAAAACTATTTCAAGTGACTATTCAAGGAAATCCTGCTGTATTGGCATTATCTAGTCGTCCTTGGCTCAGCTATACATTCCAATCACGTCTTCATCTTACCCCACTTTCCTACGACTCGCTAGAATTCGGATCAAATTTCACTTCGCCACAAGTGCCCGAAGGAATAGTCGCCATCTCATCAAACACGCTTCGAATTTTTGCAGTAGAAAAGCTAGGCACTGTCTTTAATCAGGCTTCCATCCCGCTTAAATACACCCCGCGACATTTTGTTCTACACCTACCCTCGAGGAATTTTGTTATTCTTGAGACAGAACATAATACATTTTCTCCCTCGGAAAAAAAGAAAGCGTTGGATGCGAAAATTAGTCAGGGAGTTGCTTTTGATCCGGCTATTGTAGATTTACCGCCGGAGATATTTGGCTTGCCAAAGTCAGAGCCTGGAAAATGGGCCTCGTGTATTAGAGTCTTAAATCCTTTCAAGGGCATTACCATGTCTCTCATTGAACTTGAAGAAAATGAAGCGGCTTTCAGGTATCTAATAATATATATTTAATTGTATTTAGTGAATTGATTACTTTATAATTATATTGATTTTTATTATTCTTATAAAAGTATTGCTACTGTGAATTTTCACAATCAAAATAATGAACTATTTCTTGTAGTTGGCACCGCCAAAGACGCTAATCTCGCACCAAGAACATGTTCATCTGGATTTTTACATGTATACCGTTTTGTAGATGAAGGAAATGCGTTAGAATTAGTGCACAAGGTAAATTCATTTGGTTGTTTATTTTCATATGTTTTTGTTGTCCGTATTTCCTAATGACCGATTTTCTCAAATAGACTCCTTGTGATGATATACCAATGGCATTACTCGGATTTCAAGGTAGGCTTCTTGCTGGTGTTGGGAAAGCTCTTAGGATATATGACTTTGGAAAACGCAAGTTATTGCGTAAGTGTGAATCAAAGGTATTGTAAACTCATTATCATTCTATCTATCCTATTTTAGTTTTATCCTTCCTGCTAAAATTTGTCTATTTATTTATTAGGCCATCCCTAATTGTGTTGTTGATTTACATACGCAAGGAAATCGCATAATCATAAGTGATATGCAAGAATCTGTTCATTATGCCTCGTATAGACTACACGATAACCGCATTATTATATTTGCTGATGACACGACGCAACGATGGATTACAACCACCACCATGATAGACTATGATACATTAGCAAGCGGTGATAAATTTGGTAATTTTTTCGTTGATCGTTTGCCATCAGAGACTAGCGAAGAAGTAGACGAGGATCCTACCGGGAACAAAATCATGTACGAGAAAGGATATTTAATGGGTGCTCCACATAAGGTACGATTAAAGATTGAATATTTGTATGCGTTTATTGAAATAAAAGAGCGTGTTATTAAATACACGGAGAAATTCATTATAGGTTGCGTTGATCGCACACTATCATGTTGGAGATCTTATAGTGTCTCTTCATCGAACCACTCTTGTCGCAGGTGGTCGAGAAATTCTAGTGTATACAGGCTTGATGGGGAGTATAGGTGTCTTTGTCCCATTTATAACACGCGAAGATGTTGAATTTTTCCAAACTCTGGAAATGCACATGCGTAATGAAGCACCACCTTTAGCGGGTCGTGATCATTTGCAGTATCGAAGCTTTTATACCCCCGTGAAAAGCGTGATAGATGGCGATTTATGTGAACAATATAATCTTTTGCCCATGGAAAAAAAGAAAATGATTGCAGCAGAATTTGATCGACAACCTTCCGAGATACAAAAAAAGATCGAGGATATGAGAGTTATGGCGGCGTTTTGAGCGAAGTGTGTTAGATAGTGGAGTACGAATCAGGCTTTGCTTTATTGAATAATCATTTTTTTGTAATGTGAGAGAATCCTTATAACTTGGTGTGGTATCCATTCGATAAATTACATTATTTGCTGATCGATCGTAAATAAATATGAAAAAAGAAAGCTAATAATTGTTTTTCATAGAAACAAGGTTTCTGATAACTTGAGAAATTACAGAATTTTACAAATGAATGATAATATATTCGGAATTAATTAATTTATTAACAAAATCTAGTACCCATCCTCATCTTCATTATCCGTTTCAGTTCCCGTGCCGTCACCATCTATAACAGCATCATCTTCAACTTCATTATCAAATTCTGCCTCATTATTCTCATCCTCATCTTCCATGCTTTTCCGGTTTTCATCAATATCATCCCTTAATTGGTCAATTTCCTCACTCATATCTTCGTCGTTTTCTTCAAAATTTTCCTCATCTATTCTCATTCTATCGTCATCGTTACTATTATGACTATTATTCACAACTGAATTATTATTAAATTGTTCTATTGGATTATCTCGTGATTTACGATATTTACGTTTCTGATGTGATCCTGTAGTATCTGGTGTTGCGACCAATGCATCTGGACGATGCTGCTTACTATTAGAGGTGGGATTTAGAGGATTGTCAACCTCTTCAACACCAATATTACTCGTTTGACGACTATTATTATTATTGTTATTATTATCATTATTATTATCATTATCATTCTTATTGTTATCATTATCATTATTATTATTATTATTGCTATTCTTATCGTCATCATCATCCTTATTATTACTATTAGTATTATCAGCTGTTGCTAATAAAACATCTTCGTCTTCCATATCTTCATCTTCCTCTTGTGCATTAGGTATGGCAATAGAATTTGGACCGCTTGCAGATGTTCCCACATATGAAGACATTTCTTTTTCATAGCGCTGTTTTTCTTTATCATATTGGTCGAAATATTTCTTTTGATAATGGTTTAAACGTGAAATATTAATTTCTAAACAAAATCAATACATAATCCATTCAAATTAAAAATTGCAAAAGCTCCAACCTTTTTCTCTTCAGCCGAAAGATCTTTCCATCGTTGACTCAGGATTCGTGTAACATTCTGAAACCCTTTATTCTCTTCTTTGGCCTGCTCTCGTTCATCCTTGCAATAGATCAAAAAGGCATTTCGTGGTCGCTTTGGCGCATTGGGATCTTTTATGACTGCACGTCTTCGTTTTCCGCTTCGTTGATCCTCTTCTTCCTCTTCGAGTGCCTCGTGTGACTCCTCTTCTGACTAAGTTAAAATAACAAGATTGAGTTAATTTATTTGCGTGTGACGTGTTTATACATGTAATGTTTTGACTTGTCATTATAAAAAACAACAGATAGATTAAGTAGGATTATACAAATTAAATTATTTATTATTTAGAAAGGTGCAAAAAAAGCTTTATATGAAAATGAAAGTGCGTAAATTTAAATTTTTAATCATTGAAAGTAATACATTTTCCAGGAGTCAAAATACAAAACACCACCAAGACTCCAAATTTTCACCTCGACATGTTAAAATGATGTAATGAATGATTGCTGCTTGGAAAAAATTGTTGCATTCAATCAGCCATGCAGGCAAGAGCAAAACAGCAGTAGCACACTGCCACCACACCACCTCCGCCATCATCTATTGTTTCTCAATGGACATTGATTGTAAGCCATCATTATCACTACTACTACTGACCGAAGTTAAGTCCTCATCTGATTCTCCTTCAGCTTGTGAAGACCCTTCTGAATCAGATTCATTGGTTTGCTGTGACTGTTCTAATCGATCAAATAGAAAGCTAGTCCCAAGAAAAGTTCGAATAGCGATTCGTTAAATGAAATTGAATTTCACGATCTCAAAAAAAATCACGTCTATTATGGATTCGATGATGACAATGATCTAACCTGCGCTCTATTCGTAGGCGTTGTATGTTCTTTTTGGCTCTGGTCAGTTTCAGCGTCAGTTTCTCGTTTTCCTTAAATTCAAAATGAATGTTTTTATTATTCGCTTTGTTCGAGAATATCCAAAAATCAAAGAATTCATAATCGAATTTCCAGTATTAATAAACCTCTTCCATTTCTCTAATTTTTTTTTTTAGTTCCTTGTATTTTCGCTTATATTTCAGCTCTGAGATATTAAAAAAGAAACATTAGAATAACATTCTAATAAGGTAAATACACGAGATAGAATGCTTACCATCAGTAGCAGACATTGATTTCAGCGAAGGTAGCTTTGATTTTGACTTTAATAGACAAAGTAAACACATTAATAAATCGATTAAATACTTCTCTCACAGCTAAACTACATTATCGTTATATAAACTCAAATATGTGTTGGCACAAAATCTGCTGTCATTACCTTTGAAGACATTTTTTAAACTTGAAATTTGAAAGGAAAAACGACAACTATTTAGAAATAAGTTTAACTTCGTTGTGCATAAAATTGGGGATTACGCATTAGATAATATTGCAGATCGACTTTTGGTATAAATTTTCAAAATTGTTGTTACACATTATATTTTATTGCGATTTTATTATAACGAGACATTTATTTACGTTACAAGAGTCTAAATCATGAGTTACTACTAATTATGTTTGGCATCACTCTTCAAATATCACCACACCAGTCAAACATCCTCCATGATACGATAATATTCGACCATTTTGTTCTGATACAATTCGCCAAATCGGCAGTAGAAATTTATCGTCGGGATTTTGAAAGGCAAGAAATTTCGAGCATTTATGACATGGAAGTGAGAATAGGTCATGATAGTTGGATATCCAGTCCTATTTGTTAATACGTAAAGTTTATATTATATTGCAATGAAAAATATGCTTGAACTGGAAAAAAAAGAACGTTGAAGTATCACCAATAGCTCAGTTATAATATTTTTTTGATCAAGTTGTTGTAGAACATTAATCGCGAGTTGTGTTATTCGTTGAAAGAGAAGAATATCGGACGATTCATGTATTTTTTTCTTTATAATTAGAGAGTTTATTATTAATCATCTGATCTCTTGGTATACATTGTAGTATAACATATTTCAAACAAACCTTCTCATAATATCCGAATGTTGCTACACGAGAAACTAATAAAATGGTAGACTCGTAATTCGCCTCATAAGTCAATGAAACGCCGGCTTTTATTACATTATTAAAGGATACCTGAAATTACAAATGATGTGATGAGAGCAATAACTAAAATATAATCACAGCATTCCCGAAAGAATAAATCACCATGAATCCTTGTAATCGTCCTTTAGCATCCGTTCCGATTTTCTCCAATTCTACATTATAAACTCGATCTTTTTTTGCACGAACTAGCCATGCATCAAGAATACCATGTAATTCACTAAAATAAAAACATGCATGATACACAATGATAATTAAGATTTTGTAACGAACTAAAGAGTAGAGCAAAAAGAAATAAATTTAGGCCAACCTCGCGTCGTCTCTTGTTTTATTAGACGAAATTCCATGATCTTCAATAAATTTTCGATATTTAAAATAGATATTATATTTTTGTTGAAAACAACTGACCATTTAATTAATTATTTAAATGTATGAATAAATACTGAAAATTAAGTATGTGTTAATAAGAATAAAAATGGTAATATACTTTTTCGCTAGTTGCGTATTATTTTGCATTTCTTGAGCATGATTTGATGGTCTTTTTGGTACTTCATCAAAACTTGATCCCGTTATACTTAGTAAATTAATTAGAAGCAGTAATTATATAGAATGTGTGAATATACGAAAAATGATGAATTAACTAAAAATTCTTACAATTTCGGCTGATTGATTTCCCATTCTAACGCTGTTGCCTCAGCATGTTGAAATTCGTCTAGAAAGTAATAGAAAAATAATATAAATCAAGAATTAAAAACTTGAAAGAATTTTTCAATTTTTTACTTTTTGATTCGGTCAGCAATTGTTCGAATCTATTAACGCAATCTTCTGCATCTGCGCATAATTTGGCCAGTTTATGAGTGATACTCTTATCGAATGATTGTCCTTGTCCACGAAATAAGGTTTTTCTTATTTGTGTCAACTCATCACCTATAACATATATAATTACTAATTAATGTATCAATATATTTGTTAATATCATAACTTTTACCCAATTACCTTTTCCTGAAAAGTGTAAATTTGCCTCTTGCCTCTTTTCCTCCTCTTCCTCCTCTTCAATTTTTTCTTCAACTGGCCACAATCTCTCAAAATAATTGCATACCTGAGTCACCGAAGCTCTCAATTCGTCAAGCTATGACAAATGTTAATAAAAAGTCAAATATTTATCATTTTGGTAGATTTTTTCAAATTTACTCTAGTTTTTTCTCCGCATACCGTGTCAAGAAGTACATCCATTTTTTCTGCAGCATTTTTCAAAGACACTACTTCCTCGGTCATTTTCTTGAATAATTACGCGTCAAAAGCAAAATTTTCAAATTTGAAACATTAATTTCCGTAATTTTGCCCAGGATTATCGCCTAACAAAATGGAACAAAATTTTCGAATGCAACATGAAACTGAATATCGATTTCTTATCATACCAATACCAACAGCAAACGATCCAAGTATTGACAGATCTGTGCTCCAAGCTTCAAAAAAAAAACATAACATTTTCTCATACAGTTGACAATTGGTTTTTGGCACACAGCACAGCTCGTCTCATGTTTCAAGCAAAGCAGATAGTTAAAGTGAGAAAAACGTAGTTAGGCATACTGCAACTCCCAAAAAAACACTAATCTATTAATGGGTGTCCGCGATGCAGATGAGTGCGAAACATTCGAAATAAGTTCCACCCGTTATGAACTTGAAGCATCACCAACACTAGATTTTATCTCGGCTATTGACGCCACCACAAATCGTCAACAGTCAAGAGAAAGAACCTCTCCACCAACTACTCCTACCTCGTTAGAGAAAACATCTCTCCTTAGTAATAATATCAACATTAACCATTCATTGCCACCTTCAAAGCGAAAATCGTATCAAAACCAAAAATCACCATCACATAATTCTTTGATACGGAATGCTTCCGCCTCACTATCTTGCTCTATATCAATATATATCATATTTATTATTACAGTAATTTTATTGGGAGCCACATTAAATTCATTTTTAAATTATCAAAAAGACTCGAAGGGTTGTCTTGTATCTTATATGCGTCCTTCATTTATAAAGCAAAATGGCTTTGATAGCGAACAAACTAGATTTGCTGGAAAATATAGTCTATATTTATATAGAGAATCGGGTTTGGATCTTAGTGAAGAGGTATTAATTTTTAGGTGACTATCGAGTTTTTGAGTATCATTGTGCAAAGTAGAATAACTATTTTTTTTATAGCCAACCGGAATTCCTACATTATTTATACCGGGAAACGCAGGAAGCTATAAACAGGTGCGATCAATTGCGGCTGAAACTGCCGTATTATATCATGAATCAATGTCTAAAGAACCAAAACATTGGGAACAAGGTGTTCGAGGAATGGATTTTTTTTCAGGTACCGAGTTCAATGCCTAGCAAGCATGAGATTATTGAATTTTTTTACGGTCCTCAATCGTTTACAGTTGAATAGCTCTTTTTCTTTTTAATTTTACTATCTTAAATAGTTGATTTTAATGAAGAATTTTCAGCATTCCATGGACATTCATTGTTAGAGCAAGCTGAATATCTCAACGACGCGATTAGATATATTTTATCTTTATATCCAGTTGTACGAAAACATCAGTATAGTCATCCATCTCAGCCACATCCTGACCCTGCGTCAGTGATTATAATTGGACATTCTATGGGCGGTGTTGTTGCACGTACCCTCTTCACTATGCCAAATTATCAACCAGGTTCAATAAATACCATCTTGACGATGGCAACACCACATCTTTTACCGCCAGCTCCTTTTGACTGGCAAATTAGCAAAATTTATACGGATATTAATGAATTTTGGCGAAATGGATATTCGAGCAATGCACCTCCATCAAATTCTTTATTAGAAGTCACCTTAATTTCAATTGCTGGTGGTACTCTTGACACGATAGTTTGTTCTGATTCGGCCAATATAAATTCATTGGTGCCTGCTTCGCATGGATTTACTGTTTTCACCACCTCCATTCCTACTGTGTGGACTTCGATGGATCATCAATGTATACTTTGGTGTAATCAATTTGTAAAAGTTGTAGCTCGTACTTTATTGAACATTGTTGATATTAGGCGCGCTAGTCAAACTAAAGCTGTTTCAGAAAGAATGTCAGTATTTAGAAAGCTTCTGTTAACCGGTTTCGAAGTCGAATTTCCCGAAATTGAAGCTTCAAAGAAAAAACGAGGTATTTTAAATTCTATGTATTTATGTAGTAGTATTGATTATGAAATTTAAAATACTAATGAGTATATATATATTTTTCATGTAAGAACCATTTGGGATAATAAGTTTAGCAAAAGATTCGAATACATTTTTGGACATGGGGCAAAGATTAGTATTGAAAAAATTGGGGTCAACACCAAAAGTTCATTTGATGCCTATACCCCCGGCAGCTCCACACTCTACCCTGAATACATTTTCTTTATTGACAGATCAATCACTCGGAAAAGATTCCTTAGTTGATGTACTTTTATGTGACATTATGCCTACCGAAGTGCCCGAATCAATTAAAAATAATTCTTCCGCTAATAATATAGCTTTACCTACAGATCCCCGATTATCATGCCACATTGCATCTGGCGATTCTATTGTTGTTCCAGCTTCGGGGAAAGACGATAGAGAACCATTTTCCGGAAGAACATTTAGTTTTTTAAAATTGAGGGTCAAAGATTTAGGAGATTATCAATATATAGCCATAATTGATCAGGATGGAAAAGGAATTGATGGTTTTCTGTTGGCTGAATTTTATGACGAACACTCAACGATTACTTCTCTTGATACTTCTATTAAAGGTTTGTGTTAATATTTTTGGTGTATACACTTGCAAGTTTTTAATCTTAAAATATTTTTAGAATTATTTATGGAGGGAATACACGTTGACGCTATCTCCGAGAACCATTCACTTGTCTCAGCTTTACGGATACCGATTATTGACAGTAGTCTTTTGACATATAAAATGTCTATTAATCGACATGGATGCTCTGGTAAATATTTTAAATTATGATTTTTTTGGATAAGAAATAATATATATTGTAAAGTTTACTATATATTTTCAATATCAAAATGGAATCGATACAAGATGGCCTTTTTGCTCAATTCGTTCGTCAATCGATTTCGTCTATGTATGAATCGAAGTTTCTCGTGAATGTTAAGCATGCAGACGTCAACATTCATGGTCAAGCTCCTTTTGTTACACCTGTAAGTGCACCACACCTGCGTAGAGGTCTTGAATTGCAATTCTGGATGGATCCTACTTGTCACTCAGCACTATCTCTAGATATTGAATTTGATTTGTATGGAAGCTTGGGTAAAATTGTAATGCGATTCCAAACAGTTTTGGTCGCATTTCCCTTTATGGTCGTTATATTAACACTCAGAGCGCAATTAAGAGAATATAATCGTGGAGGTAAATTTTTTCTCTTTTTTCGTAAAATCAAAAATATTAATTGGAATTTAATTAACGATTCTCTATTTGCATAATAGAACCTTTCTTCAGTTTTGGCCATGCATTGAGTCTATTTATTAGTCAAACAATGCCTGTTTTTCTTCTAATGATATCTTGTTTATCCATTTATCAGTCTGTCACTCGAGCATCGAAAACTTATTCACTAGCAGACCTATTTCCTGTAGACACTACTCCAGGAGATATGCATAAAGTTATTAAAGCCAAAGCTTCATTCAACGTGAATGATACATTATTGGGAAATCATGATCCATTTTTCTGGTTTTTGCCGCCTTTATTCTTTCTTATGAGTGTTGGCATTACCGCATTTTGTTATGCACTTTTATCAATTATTGTGAGATTGTTGGCTCGTATAGCGTTATTCATTAGTCAAAGAAGGCCTTCAGTTGCCAGATTCGTCGGCAGGTAAGAATTTGAACTTTGATTTATTTGATATATATTTCTACTAGAAATATCATCGCTTCTACAGATCTCAAGAATCCAAAACATCTAGAACACGCCGTCGCATTATCACAACGATAATATTGTTTATTTTGGTGGCATCTTTTGTGCCATATCAATTCGCTTTTGTAGTTGCATTTTTGGTGCACATTGTTTCTTGTGTACGATCTCTCGTTGAAGTACGATTAATGGTGAGAATAAATATACAATTTTTGTTTTGGCTTACGTTATTTAATAGCTTTCATTAACCTTATTCTGTGATAGAGTAAACAGAGCAAATCAGCAGGCATACAAAAACGATGGGATCATTATCATTATCGACAATCAATTTTAATGCTGTTATTCATGTTATTACCCTTCAATTTTCCCGTTTTGATGGTATGGATAAGAAATTTATCGGTACATTGGTTTGTACCCTTTTCTTCCGACCACAATTTATTCGCAATCGCACCCATCATATTCTATGTTGAAATTATCACTAGTGGTAAAATGTTACCCAGAACAACTAGGTAAATTTATTTTATTCCTGGGTGTCTACACATGCGTAAGTTTATTTTATCTAACCATATTTATCATTCTCGCAATGATTACTTTATTTTAAAAAGCAAAACCCGATCAATCACCAATTTTATGCTAATTATAATTACCGGATATACCCTTTTATACGGCGTTCGATACACATACGTATTGTATTTCTCCTCATTATGGTTTATATCTTGGTTAATTCTATTGCATGTGAGGTTTTCATGGCGGCGTAATCCAATAGGTGCATATTTGCAAAATATGTTTAGGCGGAATAAGAAAAAACATTAAAAATAATAATGATCGTAATATTTAATATGTAATATGTAATATTTATTAGTTTAAATTGCAATTTTTGGATAATAATTTAATTAATCACTTTTCTACATTTCTATCATTCACGTTCGTGTAACTGGAGTTTAGGTTCAGAACCATGATTTTTTGAAGTTTACATCGCGATTTCGTGTTAACGTTAATTATTTACACACGCAAATTAGAATCGGCTAATTGCATTCATTATCTAACAAAAGTATTGAAATTTAATAAATTTAGAACATCACTACTAATACATGCTTTATACTTTCAATTATATCTGTGGTTCAATTTGCTGTTATTTATTGTTCATCAAGATTTTTGAAAATTTAAACTCAATGATCAAGAATTTCATGTACAATTATACCTTATCCAATTTCAAGAATATATATTAAAAAAAATAATTGTATTACAATCAAACTTTATAATTATTACTTGAAAAAATAAATTGGATAATAATTGAAAAAATCAACTTGGATAAATATAATCATAAATATATATAAATTATCAAGATTATTTAATATATACACATTCCTACAATACATTATTAGAAATTTCAAAAATGAATTTGTTACTTTGGAATCTTGATAGCTTAATATTTAATTATCCTATTTGAACAAAGTTATTACAATTAAATTTATATATTCAAAACAAATCTAATAGTGATATTTTTGTTTGAATAAGATTACTAAATGTTAAGTTATCAAATTTTATTGAAATTTCTGATAATATATTATACAAATATGTATAATTAATCCCTCTACAATTACTTTTTCTATAGTTCTATTATATAAAATATTATTATAATTATTCTTTTTTCAAGAACTAGTTATAATAAAAGTATTTTGTTATAAATATATTCATAAAAAAACTATTATAAGCATATTTATAAAAAAATTTATTATTCAATAATATAAATTAAATTAATATAAAATTTATTATATAAACAACAAGTTTTTTTTCAAAATTTTGATAATTAATAATTTAATTAATAAATAAAATTTTTTATAAGTCAAAATATAACAAATATTTTCAAAATCTAAAAGCTTTATTATCATTTTTTGTAATAAAAATTAATAACAATAAATTAATTTTTTATTTTTACAATATATATGTATATATATAAAATAATTTATTAATTTGATTTTTTATTTTTAAAGTCAAAAAATTTTATTTATATAAAATCAATTTTTAATTTCAAAATATAATATATTTAAATTTCTTTATAAATATTACTTTTAAAAAACAAAATTGAATAATTATAAAAAGAATATAACTATAGAAATGTTTTTATTATATTTATATATAAATAAAAAAGTAAATTAAATAATTATAAAAGATATAATTATAAATAAGTATAATTATAAAGAAATTTAATTATATTCATAATTCAATTTGTTTAGTTACTTGTTTAATATTTTTTATAATATAAATTAAATTATATTTTAAAATGTAAATTTTATAAATGGATTTTTAATAATTTAATCAAATTATAAAAACCAAAAAATCTTGTTTATATAATTTAATTTTAAAAATAATCAAAATATTTATATCAATAAATTCGATTTTTGTATTTTGTTAAGTTTTATCAATTTTAATATAATAATCAATAGATATTTTCATTTTTTTGTAATATTTTTATTAGATATTTTGATTTGATTTGATTTGGTAATTGTTATTATTAAACTAATAAATAATTCATATTAAAACAATAATATTTATTAGCTAATATTTTAAAATAAATAAAGTAAAGCTTGATTTTAAATAATACAAAATTAAGCATTTTGATTGGCTAAAAGATTTTACTTGAAGATAAAATAGAATATCTATCAAAATAATATTAGCTAATATATGTCAGTACTTTTATTTATTAACAAAACTCCTTAAAAAAATATATTAATAAAACAAATGAGAGCACTTATAAATTTTTGTTGATCTTATCCAGAAATCAATATATAACACAAAAAAGCAAAAAATGTGAAAAATACAGAAAGCAAATATCTAAATCTAGCTCGATGCACTAATAAAAATGTCAGAAAGATTCTTTTACATGTAATCTTCTCTAATTCCAATACTGATTCTAATTCTAAAATCAATTTTTAACATTAATAACTATTTAATGATTATTGTTGCAATAAAAATTATTAGCACTAATCACAAATTTCAATGGCTATTAACATGAAAAACGACATCATTTTATATATCTATTTGAACTATTTTACAAATAATCTATTACAAGATTAAATAATTAATTAATTTAAATAATTTTCTATATATATCACATACCAAAACTATTAATATAATCGCGCACCGAAAAATTCATTAGGTGAGATACTTTTTTGGAAATTGATCGCTCGATTGAAGACACCGCGGTAACACACTGAACGGCCGCACAGGCTTCGAGTCTTCAAGATTTAACGCGAACAATAAGCAGTCTTTTGAACGTTCGACGCGATTAGTAGATTCAAATACTTTACCGAGGAAAAACCTGAAAATAATAATCCAATAAATTAATTTTTTGATTCGTTTTCTTTTTATAAGCTAGATAGACTAAATACTTGCCAGGCTTCAGCGCAATCCCATCCTCGTCCTTTTGTTGCGCTCTCTAAAAGACCTTCTGCTAATTCTATCTCGCCAGTCAATAAATATGTTCGTCCTAGATGAACTAAACTTGGTACGTGAAAAGCATCAAGTGATAACGCTTTCTGAAACAAAGTTATCGCGGTAGAATATTGGGATTGAGCAAAGTGAAATAGACCAAGCTGCAATAAAATACAAAACAAATATTAAAGAAAGGATCAAATATCCTTTACGTAAAAAAAGGAATACACGACTTACTTGACACCATAGATCGGGATTAGTCCCATCAATCTCTTCAGCAGATTCAATCGCCTTTTGTACTTCTTCAAAATTACCGAGTCGCCGATATGCAGCCGCAGAAGCAAGCCATAATTCCGATAATGCTTTATTCGCACGACGTTGTCGAATACTTGGAGGTTGTGAAGAATGGGCTGTGGAGGCAGGAATTGATTTCATTGACGCGATGCCACTGATCGTTGGAGTCGGACTACGCCTTATTGCAGAAGAATTTGAATTTTTCGAAGAAGCAACAGAAACTGCATAATTTGCTTTAGGGACATCTAAATAATAAATTAACAATCAGCTGAGTTATTAAAAACTATGAGAATTTTTCACTTACCCAACATGTCTTTAATTCCTACACTATGAATCGATCCTTCTGGACTATTATTATCTTTTGTTCGCAGATTTGAAAAACTCCGTGAATTTTCGGCAGACAGTGATCTTGTCGCTTGTGCACTCAAAGCATCCTCATTGTCTCGTTTACGTAGACTAGCACTCTCATAAATGGAGCCAGTGGGCGAAAAAGTATTCTCTGGGAATATCTTGCCATATAGTTTGAAAAGTCCCTGATGATGCAAAATAACAGCCTCAGGTCCATGCATCAATTCTAGTAACGCACGCTGCGTCATTTTGAAAGCAAAAAATTCTTCACCATCTTCAGTTCCAATCGCGGTCAATGCCCCATAGTCAACCGACGAGTCTGTTGTTTCCCAATCGGATTCTTTAGTGGCTACTTCGCATGCTTTTAGTGCCCCTTGAATGTCTTTTTGTGAAGAAAATAGTAGGGCTAAAAGATGCCAGCTTGGGATATTTGAGTTATCGAGAACAAGTGCTTGACGAGTGTTTTCGATTGCTTGTGAGGTTTTTCGTATTACAGCGTATTCGAGTGCTAATTGGTAGTATGATTCTACGCATTCCGAGTCCAATGATATTGATTTATTGAGTGCAGATATAGCTTTTTCGTGAAGATCTGGTCGAACTTCTGGGTCACTTGCTTTGATGGAAATTGCAGATCCAAATATATTTTTCGTAACAAAGGAATTATATGCTTGAATTATAAAAAAAATCTTTGAAAAAAACTAATCAGATAATGCGATACTAACCTTCAAAAGCCAATAAACTGTAAGCCACACCCAAGCATCTCCAAGATTGAGCGAATAGCTCATCATCAATAGACTCACTTTCATCATCTTCGCACAATGCTCTTGCTTTTTCTGCAAGCTCTAGTGCTTTTTTTGCCTTTTTTAATAATAATAATAATAATAATAATTAGTTAATTGCGATTAAAAGTATTACAGATTATCAACTTAATTTGATAAAATCGAAAAAAACTTGCATTATTCAAATATTTCCCCGTAACAATAACACCAGTCAACAAAGTTTGCACAACTTCCGGCAAAAGTTCGTTTTCCGAGACTTGAGCTCTTTTCGATTCGATTGAACCTGCTGACTCTTGTGACTTTCTTTCAACATCGTCTTTCTGTGTTTCTTTTGCCTTTTCTACCAATGCGATATAGGCATTTAGTGCCAGCTCTGCTTCCTCATACTCGCCAAATATCATCAAGGAGTTGATAAGATGCCGCAGAATTCGAGGTGAATGAAAAGTCATTTCCGTTGCCCGGTAAAGCATCTGCAAAATGTGTCATCCGGCAAGTTGAATCACGCCTTTCCACAGAATTAAAGAAAAGCAATGCACACACGGGTATCGTTTCGCGTAAATAGTCGCGCGCTACTTTGTGCGTACGAGTGATGCTTGGAGAAAAATGTACAATAAAAGGAAAGGAATCGAAAAGTGTTTGTTGCTGCTTACATGCATCAAACTTTTGTAGTTTGTCACCAATAGTATATGCAACACATAATCACGATAATAGTTCCTTTGCCTTTTACTGTATCTTTTCTCGCCTTTCATCCCTCCCTTTAAAAATACGATTTTTATAACAAAATAAAAGATAAAAACCTCAACTAGTCCTCGCATTTCTGACGGTTTTCTACAACCAAGTAATGCCCAATCAGCCATCACTTGATCCACCATGTCCAAGATACGCCAATTAACTTCCCCGGCTTTTGGAAATGACGTTATTTGGTAGAGCACACTCTCATATAATCCGTGCAATCTAGTCAGCTCAGCTCGAAATGTGTTAGGTGTGTATTGACCACTGAAAATATTCATTAAATTAATCTTCTAGTAATATAAAAAATTAATAAGTAAATTTGATTTTTCCACTCACTTTGACGAGAGAATTTCAGGTGCACTTGGTGGTACATAAGTACCTTCTTGATAAGTTTTTGAAAGTAACTCTATAAAATTCCGATAAATTACTGCTCGCTTGTTTAGTCGAAATTTGTCCCAGAATCCAGAGTATTCTTGATAAGTTCGGAATGCATGAAGTGCACCACTTGTATCCCTATATACATTTCCATGAAAATTAATTGAATATTATCGGCTATGGATTTATTTATAAATAATATATATTAATATATATATATATCTATATATATATATATACCCAATTCGTGTTTTAAGCAGTGCAACGTGATAAAGGGCCTCTTCGGCCCAATACATTAATTGCGCCGATCGATCGGCACTTCTTTGCGTTAACAATCCTGTCACTTTATCATAACATTCTATTGCTCCTTTAAAATCCTCTGTCACTTCTAAAGCCATTCCTAATAAACAAAAAATATTGTATTAATGAAAGAATTTATAAAATGATACTATAAGAAATTTTTTTACCTCTGATTGTTATTCCCTGAATAATTAACACGAAGTTGTATCCTGCAGGTAACTTTGTCGGCACAAATGGTGCTTGCAAAGTTTCCAGACATTTTGCATATGCCCCGGTTGAAAAATAAGCACGCCCTAATATAATATTCGTATACTAGCAGTAATAAACACGCATAACATTATTATATCGAAATCATAATACATTTACGCATCAAACTTGAATGATCTATCTTGATCGTGAGATCAATTAGATAATTATTCACTTTACATTCTTCTAACCTGTTTTTCCTCTCCCTCTGATTTAACAGTCGCAATCTCAAGTTTCTCAAAAACGTCGTTCACCATCGACGCATCAACCACAGGTCCTATCGAAATATGATCTGGCTTATCGTCATCGTATATCAATGGACCCATATCATCTTGTCGTTCTATTTGTTCTATAGCTAGCACTAGAGAAAATTCGGCCAAGGCAGTTTGCTCAAGAACTAAAATATAATTATAATTTAGTTAACACAATGCTTTTCGGAAAGCATGATAAAGAAAAACTCACTGCATTACATACCTATACCATCGGGATTATGTTTACGATATTTGCGTGCTAATTCAGGTATAGCAACCCAGTTTCCTTAAGAGTAAATTTTAAGATCAAGTATTTAAGTTCCAAGGAAAGAGAAGATAAATAGATTGTATAGAAAACAACCTTGAATAAAAGAAAACACATTATTAACTAATTACTACCTTTACATCGCGCGGCATCAAGTTCTTTTTCTCTCTGAGAAGCTTTGATAGGATTGGGCATTGTTTATCTAAGCTAATTATATATATTTAATACTAATTTATTTCCTTTATCTGGAACTAGAATCTATAAATATATCACTTCAAAAAAATAGTACCTGCGAAAAAAAGTGACGGTCACGTGTATCAGAGCTTCGGGTACTCCGATGATATTGGGATCACATGTAGTCACGGGGTTATACCCGCAATAGTGTTATATACTGGTTCTTTGAAGCAGAAGGTATTTTATATGGAAGATCTTTTAAGATAAGTGGAATTATTTAAAGTTCTTAAGTCAACAATCCAAGAAAGATTTCATTATCTAATATCTAGATAGAAAACTAAGACTATAAGATAATACTAAGATTTATTATATTTACTAACGAGAAGTCTACGAACAGTGCAGGATCACGTGACATTCAAAAATTCACGCTCACGTGATCACAGAAAATTGACGTTAAAGATTATTTTATCATTTGGATTAGGATTAGAATTAGTGCTAAAGATAAGATTATGTAAAATCTTTTTCGACATTTTTTATTAGTACTTCAAGCTAGATTTTAATATTTGTTTTCATATTTTTTATTTTCTTGTATCAAAAACATGTAATTAAGCACTATTTCAAAGCATTATTTGTAAACTTTTCGATTTACTAATTACTTGCTCATGTAATTTTTGATGATAATTTCACGGATAGCGAAATTTTGTGAAATTAATAAAATTAATTAAAATATAATAATCATAAATTTTTTCTTTTATTTAAAGTTAAATGACATTTGAATTTTTCAGATATTATAACTAATATACAAAAATATATTTAATTTGTTCTGAATTAAATCTTGAATTTTGCCAAATTCTTTTTTTTTGTAAATTTTTTATTTTTTTATGTAAGTTACTATGAATTTCTGGAAATTTATAATGATTACTTAAATTAATTTCTGAAACTTTTGATAATTTTAACAAATAATAATAGTATTATGTGTTAATTTTAATAAATCTGCTTTTTTATATTTTTGTACATTTTGCTATTTTATTAATGTAATATTCAATAATTTATATTTATAAAACTCAAGTATTTGTAATTATTTTGATTGGAATATTATAATCATATAACTTGCAAAATATTCTCAATTATATAAATTAATTTTAAATTGTTTTGAAAATGTTTTTTATAATTTTTATTTAACTTTATTTTGTAATTCTGATTTAATTTTATCAAATTTATTTTATAAAAATAAAAAAATAATAATTTATATATATTTTAAATAATTATTAAAAGTTTTATATATATTAGTTTTCATGAAATAAATTAAATATATTACAAATTAGTTATAAATATTTATTTAATTATTATAATATTACAAATAAATATTTTGAATTTTTGTAAAATTTACTTTGCTATTATTTTAATTAAATTTAATTCTTTTTTGAATATATCATATATTATTTGTAAATAAAAAATATAAAAGAAATTTTAAGTAAAAAATAATAATTTATAAATATATTATAATAAAAAATTTATATAAGAAATATTATTTTGCTAATTATTAAATAGTAAATTTATAATAATCTATCTACTATTTGAAAATTTTAATTTAAAAAAATAACTATAAATATATTAAATAAAATTAAAAAATATTAAAAAAATATTTAAATTTATTAACTTCAATTTTAAAATAGTTATATATTAAAATTATTTAATTTATAATTTTATTTTAATAAAAAAAATATTTTTGTAATATTATATCAAAAAATTCTATTACTTTTTAGTTTATTATCTTTATATATATTATTATATTAAATATTTTTTTATTAATATTTTGTTAATTAATAATTAATAATTAAAATTTAATTATTTTTATATTATTAAATTCTTCATGATTTAAGAAATCTGAAAATATAAAATTTCTTGTTATAGAATAAAAATTCACAAGCTTAAAATTGAATAATAAAATAAAAATAGGCTTCAAAAATTTTACAATCATTTTTGAATGATAATATCTTCTCATTCAATAATTAAAATTCAATAAAAATAATATTATTAAATTTTTCTTGATCTAACAAATTCAATAATATATATTTTTCTAAAATTAAATATAAATTAATTAAGTTATTATAGCTCAAAGTTATTAATAAAATCTTTATTAAAAAATAACAATTATCTGAAATTTGAACAAGAAAAACAAAAATAAATGTTTACTATTTCAATTATATAATACTTTTTTAATACCAAAACAAACTCATTATAAATAAATTATTATCAATTAATCAAAAATAAACAGAAAAACTTATCTAATTAAGATTAAAAAGTAAAATTGCATCTAATAAATAAAAAAATTTGAAAATTGAGAACAAATTTTAAAAAAATATTCTAAAAAACAAATATTAAATCTTTTTTACAAAAAATAAAAATATTAATAATAATAAAAAAGAAAAAACAAAGAGATTATATAAGAAAAAACACTTTTTTACAATTATAAAAAACAAAATATTATTATTTATTCCTGACAAAAATTAAAATTATATTGAAAAAACTAAAAAATATTATTCATAATAATAATAAAGCAATATAAGCAAATTTAAAATAATTATATATATCAAATTATCAAAAAGAAGAAGAATAATATAAAAAAGAAAACAATATTAATAATTATAGATTAATAAATAATTTAATAATATAATATAATTATGCTAATTATTATATTACCAAATTAAAAATTAATAAAATTTACAATTAGTAATCAATAATATTTACAAATAATTATTATAATAGTTATTAATTTATTATAATAATTATTAATTTATTATAATAATTATTAATTTATAATAAAAAATATTGTTTTTAAAAATTCTTTTTCAAGTAATTCTTAAACAAGAAAAAAAAAGTAATAATTATAATTTTGTAAAATATTATTACTACTAATTTATTTTAGATAATATTTATATATTAATTTAATCAATTAAATTATTATTTAAAATTAATTTTTTTATTTATAATATTTTTTGAATATTATTTTTTATTCATGTATGAAATTTTTTATTTTGATATTTTTAAACAAAATTTTCTTGTAAATTAACTTTAATTGTAAATATCTCAGACAGTTTTTGTTTTATAATGGAAAATTTTTTCTATTTATAATTGAGAATTTTCATTTTAATATTTTTCTTTTTTAATAAATTTTGTTTAACTTTAATCTTAAATATTTGTTCAATAACAAAAAAATTAATATTTTTGGATTTCTTAAATTATCAAAATTTTCAAATATTAATTTATAAATTGATAAAATATTAATATTTTTTGTTAATAAAAATTTATTTTAGAAATTAATGAAAAAATTAATAATGTGATTTTGGCAAACTTTTTTTTATTTTTTCAGAAAATAATTATATTAAAATTACTTGATTATTATTATTATTTTTTTATATTATTACTATTTTAATATGACTTTATGTTTCATCATGAGAGTATATATAATAGAGTCAGATAAAAGAGTTGATATATTAAATAACTTTAAGTTGGGAGAGTTTACTAAGTTATCTAAAAATAAGTAATATATTTTCATTTTGTTGATCAACTAGAATGAGACCAGAAAGATTCAAAGATAATTGTATCTTTTTATATTTCAATTTATAATAAGTTGAGCATTTTTTTAAAGTTAGTTTATAAACAAGTAAAATATAATTTTTTTTTATTAATTCAATACTATTATTGACTTTGCAATATAGATGAGAGGTCAAATACAAAAATATATATGATAATATAACTTCACAATAGTAATGAGAGATTATAAAACAAATACAAAAATAACTTCACAATTAAAATGAAAGATTATGAAAATACTATCTAAAGAATTATTAAAAGAATATAAAACTTAATTGATTGATTTTTTTTTATTTTTTTTATTTTTTAAGCTAAGATACAAGCTGTATTTATAAGTATTTGATAATTATAAAATGATTATTTGAAATAATCATTCAGAGTATTTGAAATAATTATTTGGAATAATCATTTGCAATAATCATTCAGAATGCTTGAGATGATTGGTTGAAATGATCATACCAAGTGATCATTTAAAGTAATCATGTGAAGTGATCATGTAAAATGATTATTTGTAATTATGAAAAATATTTAATCACAACAAAACTCTTATTGTTAAATATTTTACTTCATAAAATAAGAATAAAACAAAAATAAAAAATAAAAATAAAAAGTAAGGTAAAAGTAAAAATAAAAGTAAAATAAAAAATAAAAGTAAAAATAATTAAACTAAAATATTATCTAAATTTATTTCTTCTGAGTTTATTGTTATTTGTTTAAATATTTCAACAATTTGTTCTTTAAGTTTATCACTATTTTATTTATTTAATCTTCTAATTGAACTTAGTTTGAAATATTCATCAATTTTTTTATAATTTAATACTCCAAAAAAATTTTTGAAGTAATTGTAAATTCTTAGAGCAACTAATACTTTTACAGTAGTATTATGTGAAGAGATATTCTTTTTAAATAAGCATTTGGCTTTAGTTATTATTTGTATAATAATTAATTTAGTTGTTAATTCATTTAATTTTAAAGTAAAGAGCAGTTTCAGTATATTGTTTGATTAAAAATAAACAAATATTAGAGAAATATATTGATAATGTCTCAGTTTATTCAGAATTAGCCATTATATTGATAAGTTTATTAATAGTATGACTTTTAAATTCAATTAATAATATTGAGTTACTATTTTTATTATTATCATTATTATTTGTTTCTTCATAAAGTGATGAAGTGGTGATAAAATGTAGTCTATTATGATTGATAATGAATTAATATTCAGAATAATATTATTAAATTTTTATAATTCCATTATTAATTGTTGAATTTCTAGTGAAATATTTTTAAAATTAATAAATAATATGATAAAATAAATTTTAATACAAATAATAAAATTAAAAGTGACTATATACATATGTTTTTGAATTTTATAAATTTTAAAATTTTTAACTAAATTTGATTGATAATAATTTTTAAATAAATTAATTATGATAATTAATAATTAATGTAAATTAATTAAAATAATTAAATTTATATAAAAAGTTGGAGTTGTAATACTGTTAGAATATATTAAAATGGTGTAAATTTTTATATATGAAATTGTATTTTGGTTCAATTATTATTCTCATTTTTCAAATTATTGTATTTAGTTCTACCATTTATGTAGTATCACAAGAATTTTATTAGTTCTTTTGTTGCTTTATAAACTGATTTGCATAATTGTTTGTTTTGGTTTCAACAGGCTTGTTCTTTTGTTTAGATAAAACAATATATTTTTTAATACAAAGTGGGAACATTGATATCTTTTTTATATTATTAATTTGTGATTATATTTCTTCTTTTGTCCAATATTTTTGAAATCATTTAGTAGTATATTGTACTTATTGTTTAATATTATTACTATCTGATTATGATTATGAAATATTAGTAATATTGTTGTGTTCATTATTACTTTGTAATCAATCTTGAGAAAAAAATAATTATTGTAAAAGATTTTTGATCAATTTTGTGATGAAGAATTAATAATATTATTGTTATAGGACTTTTCTTTGTTTGAGTTAGTTAAGTTGGTAATGTGTTCTTCTTTTGGGTTACATATAATATATATTTTGTATGATTGTCAAAGGTAGTTCTTACATTAATGACAATAACATGGATATAAAGTATGTTGATAGTTTTGATACTTTTTTTCTATTCTATTCTCAAATTCAATAAGTTTTGTAACTTTTACGCAGTTTTAACATTGTTTTCTATAGTGTGATGATGTTTTTCAATTATTTAATTTACAAATATATGGTACTTGGATAAGTTATTCATAAGCAGTTCTTCTTGGATAATGTAATTTAAGACAGTGATATTTTTCAATTAAAATAATTTGTATTTTTGTTGTAATTCTCATTCCAGTTATGATAATATAAGATTTAATCAATCCCAAAGCTTAGTTTATTGACTTTTCAATCAGATAAGATTAATTTTGAATTACAATTATTGGTTCCAATTTATTATCTTCAATATATCATTTCAAGTGATCTTTATTATATAAATTTTTAAGAAGTTTTTCATTTATTATTCTTAATCAGTAAACATCTTTATCAAATTTTTTATGAATATAAAATGGATCTTTCTATTTTTGTGAAAAATTTTCATAATACTGTTACTGTTTTAATATGATTTTAGCTTCTGTTACAAGAGTACACGTGATAGAGTCAGATGGAAGAGTTAACATATTAAATAACTTTAAGTTGAAAGAGTTTACTAAGTTATCTAAAAATAGGTAACGTATATTCATTTTGTTGATCAGCTAGAATGAGATCAGAAAGATTCAAAGGTAATTGTGTATTTTTTATAATTTAACTTATAATAAGTTGAATGTTTCTTTTAAGTTTGGTTTATAAACAAGTAAGATGTAATCTTCTTTTATTAATTCAATATTATTATTAACTTCGCAATATAGACGAGAGATCAAATACAAGAATGTATAAGATAATATAACTTTGCAATAGTAACGAGAGGTTATAAAACAAATACAAGAATAACTTCGTAATTAAGATGAGAGATTATGAAAATACTATCTAAAGGATTATTAAAAGAATATAAAACTAAACTTGAGTCGAATTAATTTTTAACTTGTTACTTGTTATTTTTCTAAGTTAAGATACAAGCTATATTTATAAGTATTTGATAATTATAAAATAATCATTTGGAATGATCATTGAGAGCGTTTGAAATAATTGTTTGCAATGATCATTTGCAATGATCATTTAGAGCACTTGAGATGATCAGTTGGAATAATTATTTGGAATGATCATTTGAAGTGATCATATGAAGTGATTATGTGAAGTGATCATGTGAGGTGATCATATGAGATAATCGTTTGTGATTATGAAAATATCTAATCACAACAATACTATTATGATTGGAAATTTCTATAATTCTTATAATTTTCATAATTTTTATAATTTCTATAATTTTCATAATTTTCATAATTCTTATAATCTCTATGATTTCTATAAACTTCAAAAACTATAAAAAATTCTATAATTTCTATATTTTTCATTGTTTTTATATATATATTAATTAATCAAATTTTATAAATTATCATTTTTATATAATTAGTCATAAATGTAATATTTACTAGTGGAAAATATTTATTATAAATAAAATGTAATTGAAGCTTTGAAAAAGACATTAATTAATACAAAATTTAGCTAGTCAATAAACTGCTTCTTTTTTATTATTTAATGAAATTGTATATTAATTAATTTTATAATTATTAATCTTGTTATAATACTTACTTTATATATTACTGGACACTCAACCAGATTGGTATAGGATATCAGTACTGTATTACTATAAAACTGTCATCATACTAAATAAATACAAAGAAAGATATTTATTAGTAGTAGTGTTACCTATTCAAAATTAATAGAATAGAAGAAGCTGCATAGTACCATGATTCTAAAACAACTAGATCAAAATTATTAACTTACTGAGATAAACATTAGTTGAATATCCACATCATGAGATTATCTATTTGAATCTGGGACTCGTGACAACATTAATTACAACAATGAAAATATATACTATTTGTACTTTATCAGAAATGGCTCCATCTAATTCCATTCTCAACATATATACTGATAGTTTTGTCACTATTATTAGTTTTAATTCACACATAATTAATCATCACATACTAAGCATTAGAAGTCTTCTCCAAATTAGCAACTGATACTTATGGGAAATTCTCTACTACAATATCAAATACAAAAATCTAAACATAACTTTATACAAGATTAAAAATTACTCTAACAATTCAGAAAATGATTTAGCTAACTACATAATTAAATCAGCAGATCTATCATTTATAATTACATCTAACTTTAATACACTATCTGACACTCACTACATTCCAGTATTCCAAATCAAAACTCTAATAACTACCAATCTCAGATATTTTTTAAAATTACAAGACAAAAAAAGAATCTCTTTCAGATAACAAATACATATTCTTAAAAACAATCTCATTGACCGCAGTCACTGACTTACTATTGACTGAAAAGCCATATTTCTTGTATGAAATCAAGATTTCAGAATATATTCACTTATTGTATCATTATCAGCTTTCAAATATTGATCATATTTCATCAAACTATTACACAATTCTCTTCCAACACTAACTATTCTATACAAACACAAATCTTATCTCTATATTCATGATATTTATAACTGATGTCATCTTCATCCTGAAACTAATAATCACATATGATTCTGTTCCTCTTTATAATTCATCATTAACAATATCATGTTCCAAACTCATTTCAATTATCTCTTCTTACTTCAAATTATACACAAATCTTCTCTTTTCCTCCTTCTTATCAATAATCATTAAAAACTTCTTTACCAAATTATACTTTTTCAACAATTCTTTAATATCCAATGATATACTTTGTAAACCTAGTTATCACTTAATACTTAAAGACCTAGTACCTACAGAAATCTTTAACTTTATCAAACTTCTCAATATTCCCTCTTCTCATAGTTCAAAATAATCTCTGCATTTATCTTATAATTTGCCAAAAAAAAAATACAAACAAATTTAGCTCAATCATTACAATATTCAAATTCTACACAAAAAATCTAACTCAATTTTTGCTAAACAAAAACATCTTACCAAACAACATCCTGATCATCCTTTTAACTCTTTCACAATAATCTTTTACAAAAATATTTTCTTTACTCACATGGAATCTAATCTCTATTCCTGCAAATTTTCCTTCTCTGATCACATCAACAACAATTGTTCCAATAAAGAGCTCATTCATATTCTAGATGATAATTTAACATTATCAACCTACCTCATGATGACAGATAACAATTATTCATTAATCATACTAGCTTTTTGTAGTTACGGACATTGTCCAGATGACTAGTTATATTGTAATCATCTTACTATTAGATTTTTTGATGGCTCTCTTCTTACTATTTAATTTGTATTTCTTACTTTGTAAGCTAAATTAATTCTAGAATTTGAACATGACTATACTATAGCATTTGTAAATAATATATACTTTGCAAATCTGCTTTTATATTTTTAGATTATATAATTTGAATCAAATTTGCATTCTAAAAATATGACTTGTATTAATTAATCAAATTGCAAATTATATTATATTATTTTTGATTTTATTGATTATTATATTACTTGTTAATCATGTATTATATAACTAAAATCGTGTGACTAAAATTTGAATTTCAGAGTGAACAAGTCACGTGATTTCAGTTTAGTGTCGTGCACCACTGGTTAATTTTTCTAAATTCCATTTTTTTGATTTTCACCATATCAAGATTATATTTTATGATAACGTGACCGTATGTGCTATATTCAACTTTTTTTGCCTGTAGATCATCTTGACAACATACTCAATTTTTACACGTAAAAATGCCAAACAAAATTAAAAACAAACCAACTTCTACATCAACAATTGGTGAAAAGATCGGTATGAGAAACCTTAACAAAAACCAATATATTAATGTAGTCCAGAAGAGACTTCGATCGCTGGTAAAACGACGAGTGAGTATTCCTTGGAGGAAAGAGTACTTACGCGTTTTATGGATTAGACCTTTTAAGAACGAAGATGTCATTAAAAGTCTTGACTAAAACTTTTCATCCTTTTATTATTTGATTCCAAAGGTGAAGTACCTTCAATATGAAGAAATGCTGAAAACGGGTAATCAGACACTAAATCAGGATCAACTTCAATCATTGGAACTAAAAGATAAAGTCGAATTCGCCATAGGAGAATTCAAGTCAATCATAAAAAGCTTAAATTTTGTTGAAAATGAAGTATGTTTGCTTTATTTGTGTTTTTTCTATATACACAAATTTATTTTTTGAAACATTTTTTAATTTAATAGGTTCAAGAAACTGAGCATGAAGAATCCATTGCTAAGGCTGTCAAACAAACTAAGGTAGTTTGGTCAATCTCTTTGTTTATGAAGAAATTTTCACTATTACTCAAAGATACACTAAGTATCTTTGTATTTATTAGGATTTCTACTTGAGCTCTATCATAAGTCTTCTCCAATTCTTTCGTTTAGTACATTATCAAAACGTTAGTATTGTGCAGTTGGCAGAGATTGACAATGAGGCGGTTACCCATTTCCGCGATTTATTAAACCATCTCGCCGGGGAGACCTTAATAGAAGAGAAAAAAGAACAGTCGATTCGCGAAGTTATAGCTCATGTCGAGAAATTGCGTCAGGGAGACGAAGAAGTGGTGCATAGACCTGTATCTATTAATGGAGCTGAGGATGAGTCTATTGGAATTTCATGTAAGAAATTAGTCACTTTCTATATATTCGAGATTTGTTTTGCATATTAATCTATTTACTCTATCTATAGACTATAACATCCGCTCACTCGCCATCAACCCACCAATACCCGAGAGTTTTGACGAGATTATCAGTCCAGAGGAAACCGACCAAGACATCATTGAAGAAACAATTCCTATTCATCCTCTAGTAGAACATTCTTATCCTGAAGATACTGAAAGTATGTAAAGGTGGTGATTTTCGCGCATATGGCTATTTTTAAAATGGTTTATCTGTTAACTGTATTGTTTCTCTTTCTGTTAGTGTTTGAGGTTCGCTCTGTACCGCCGGATGGTTTCAATCTTACACCAGATAACTTTAAAGGTTTGTTTTTTTTCATGAAATATGAAAGCCTAATGTCATTTATGTGTGTTTTTGAATTTAATAATTAATATTTTTCTGGTTTATAGGTGAGGAGTCCCTGAATGCTAATGAAAATACTGCTACACAGATCAATAACAATTCGCCGGAAATATTCGATGAAAATTACCATGAAGACAACGATAGCCAACATCAATTTTTGCAACAAATCGATAATAATCCACCGGATTTCCAATACCCATCCCACCATATCGTTACTGAACAGCAAACACTACTTCCTAATAATGAGCCATCACAGCAACCCGAAAATTCTGCGGACGACATTCGCGAAAATACCTCAGTCACCACCCAAAAAGAAGAAAATACGCAATCACAAAATTCGGCAACCACCACTCGACAAATTACCAAAAAACTATCTTCTGTAAATGATGATAATGAAATCCCAAAGTCATCATCATCACAAGTAATTAGTGACCACGAACAAAGTTCAAAAAATACTGAAAGTATGTAAAGACAGTGATTTTCGCATATGGCTACTTTTAAAATGTTTTGTTAGTTAAACATATTGTTTCTTTTTTCTGTTAGTATTAGAGGTTCGTTCTGTACCGCCGAATGGTTTCAAATTTATGTTTACGCCAGATAACTTAAAAGGTTTATATTTATTATTAATGTTCATGAAATATGTGTTTTTGGATTTACTAATTAATAAGTTTCTGGTTTTATAGGTGATGAGTCCTTAGATGCTAATGAAAATACTACTACACAAATCAATAACAATTCGCCAGAAATATTCGATGAAAATTACCATGAAGACAACGATAGTCAACATCAATGTTTGCAAATCGATGATAATCCATCGGATTTCCAATACCTATCACATCTTATCGTCACTGAACAGCAAACGCTACCTCCTCCTAATAATGAGCCATCACAACAACCCGAAAAATTTGCGGACGACATTCGCGAAATTACCTCAATTACTACCCAAAAAGAAGAAAATACGCAATCAAAAAATTCGGCAGCCACCACTCAACAAATTACCAATCAACAACAATCTTCTGTAAATGATGATAATGAAATCCCAAAGTCATCATCGCAAGTAATTAGTAATCACAAACAAATTCCAGAAAATCAAACTGAAAATAATAATCTTACACAATCAAATAACCCATCACCACAGAATATTTCTCCAAAGTCTCAAGAAGCAAACAATCCGTCACCGTTTAGTAACTCACCAAATCCGGTTCATTCTGTTGTTTCACACGGCCTGAATCAGAATCAACGAAATGCTGGCGAAAAACTTCGGGATCCGCGATCCGAAAATGGACAAACTCAAAGTTCAAGACCAATACAACGGCGCAACAACAATAGAAGATATAATAATCAACAGCGCCAGACAGATCGCCGACGCAGCAATTACACACAAAATGGGCAGGGGCGAAATGGACCATCACCAAGAAATTCACGACTAAGCCCAAAAAGCCAATCATCCCATTTATCAAAAACCAATCTACAACAGAACGATAGTAACTACCTAAATAATGTCACGCCAACCCAAAAAAATACTGCATACCCACCCAGATCGCCGCCAAAAAATCTGCGATCAGATCCGCAAAATAAAGTTCTTCCTCGGCCAGAACAACCAAAAGATCCTGTGAACATACAATCCACCCAACCAAATAATCCACTAGTTCATCCATTACCCGGATACCAACAACTGATTTTCCCTCCTCCAACAAATAACAATAGTAATAGAAGCCAAGGAGAATATCGTAACATATATAGAAGTAATAATAACCGAGGAAGCGTCTTCAGAGGAAATTTCCGAGAAGGAAACAATGGATACTTAAATAATGGTGGAAATTATCAAATCAATGGGTATCTTAACGGGCGTGGAGTCCTCAATAGAAACGGTGCTGGATATCAAGGTCTAACTGTTTTATTAAATTCGGTTAGTTTTTCGCATATTTGGTTTTTAATTGATTTTTCTTTATTTAGGTGTAAGAAGTAACAATAATACTAGATTCTAATGACGATACACATTAGTTGTAGATAAACATGCACATTGGATACATACATTATCGCCACGAAACTTACTTAATTCACTATTTTTAGACATGATACTTTCTTTTGCACCTAAGCATGCAATTTTATTTCCGTCACGTGTTATGCATTGTCGAGCAACAAACTTCCTTGTTTTTAAGGTCAAACTCGATTTTTATTAACTATTTGCTCTCAACGAAATTTTTTCCTTTAAACCGTTTATATGAGAATAATAAAGTGAACCTTATATATCATTATCATTTTGAATCAAAATGACGAAATCAGACTCATGATAACTGTTTGGTGAGGTGAACTTCGTTTCTGCCGGATGGAATTTAGAAAAATTAAACCAGTACAGAGAATTCCCTAAATACACAAATACACAGTAACCTTATTGAAACAAATCGCGTGAATATTTATTATAATTCAAGCTAATGCTAAAGTATCATAGTGCCAGCCCGAATTATCCTAATGTAAATCATGTAATAAATAAAATTGTTTTGCATCATTACACGTGATTAAGATATCGTTATTTTATTGGTCAATTACAAAAACGTGACATTGGATCGCATCCAGAAAATTGAGTTATAACTTCCGGCACCATGGATACTACAGCTTGTTCGTTGAGACTGGAAAACGACTTAGATGGGTGTGAAACCTAATTTACATATATTTCTTGACCCGAAGCAGAATGTACCCTCCTCCACTATTCGAGAGTGGTGCAAATACTGGATTTGTTCAGACTTTACAAAGTAAAGACACCACTCACGTAGTAGATGCGACCACCTCATCACTCAAGCGCACTAGTGAATCAACTCCTGTCGATAAATCCTCTAATAAAAAAGTTAAAAAGGCTAGTGAAACGGACAAATATTCATCCATGTTAAAAAAACTCATCAAGAGTTAGAATCACCAAGTTCTTCATCGAGTACGATCGCTTCACAAACCAAAACTATCACGAACTCTGGTAATTTTACCGATTTATACAATGTAATTATCAAGGCTGAAGAACGAATTGAGAGCACCAATCAAGAAGTTATTAGACGCTTATTATGCATTTGGAAAAGAACTTGAGGATAGGTTTGACAGCTATAAAAAAACTTGAGAGATGTAAGGCTCAGAAAAAGCTTATCGAGGAAGTCGCAAAACAGCTTCCCAATGATCTCCCGAGAAATGCAATTGAGAAAAGAGTAAAAGGGCAAGGAAGCTTTATAACCTTTTCGAAGCTATTGGTGGAAAAAGATATGGTGGGGACAGCATAAGATATCCAATACTGTGCCATAATGCAAAAAGCTATTATTTTGTTAAAATTATTTTCTTTCCTCTTTAAATTATAACACTTAATCAGAGCGTGGCTCACAACCACCAAAAAGACTTTTCTGGTTTCGAAGCGCTTTAACAGCTGTTGCATTAGCTTGACAGGTATTCCAGCTTCTTTATTAACTGCAAAAGTATATAAAATATCTTTGAATGTGCATTCGAGTTTCGTGTTATAAGCAAAACTTACTGACTTCTGCATCTAAAGCATCCAAATTTTTCGGCGTCTCAGCTAGCACACCTCGGCGCTGGAATAGAGAGAGCAAGATCCACGCTTCTAGACTTCCTCGGGACAAAGAGCCTGTAATGTCGAATCCATGCTCAGAAACCACAGTGCTGATGATTCTACCACCACCACCTCATCCGCCACCTTGGCGTCCCAACGTGGATGCTTTGTTTACGCAAGTCGCCAGCCGAAACAGAAAGAAGATCTTGAAAGGCAGAAACAGTACCTCCAATGGATGAATGGGAACTATCTCAGGATATCCTCGTCATTAACACCGTCTTCATCTGCTGCTTATAAGGAAAGCGATCTGCTAGGTAAATATTATAAATAATAACGATATTCTTTTTTTGGTTACATTTTTGATAGGATGAAATTTCTTGGCTACTTGGCGAACACTCTCGGTTATAATGTATTCTTTTAAAGATTTAGTGCGAATTAGTTTTAATTTTGACAAAGGAAGGAAAAAATTGAGCTGCAAAGTGAATTTTTGGTCTAAAGCATGAACACCTTCATCAATGTGACTAGCGGTTAAAATGTTAATTTTTTGCCGAAAATAATTTATTTGCACTTCTTTCACAACCAAAGGAAGAATCACAAGATAAACTTTTATTCGATTCGAAAATCACACTATGCACTACTGAGATCGAATAATATATACATTTTGCTAATTCTCAGCATCTCGTCTCACATCTCTCAACATAAGAAATCCATCGCAGATGTGAAGATGATAGTATCTCTTGACAAAGTCAAATACGCCAAACCTATGTGATTTAATTTGATTAAAATAAAACATTGAAAAATACTAAGATGACATCATAAATCGATTATCAATAAGATTCTCTGCATCAGTTATTTCCCATTATCCTCTAAATAGTGGTGGTTTGTAGTCTTTTTTGGATAAAACTGTAATTCACTTTTGAAATGTGCTAGCCATGACGTTAATCGGATCAATCGTCCAGAAATATTATACTCTGGTAGAATCACCTTTTGGAACAGCGATGGCATAAATACACGCCAGAGATCGTACAGAGAGCTTATTTTATTATTCGTTGTACAGTAAGCTAACACAGAATTATTCAGAAAATTCAAACTTGTGGATAACGATAATACACGAACAACTTTTCGCGCGCGCCAATCACGGGGTGTCTATCTACTTTGCCCAAATGGTAATTATATATCGATATCGATGCAATAACGCATAAATAATATATTTGTAATAATTGAATGCAACCAAACAGTATAATAATACTTGTGGTTGATGACAACCAAAATACATGTATTAATAATTGTAGTGCCAATAATATCATTTTCGCACTGACCAAGTTTTCCTAGTTCTGATTTGCAATTGTGGTGAACCGCCTTTATCATACATTCGAACATTTTTTTTTCCTTCTCCCTCTCGAATACACAAGTTTTTCAAAGATATTATTATGCACGACTGAACCCTGGTACTAAGATAGCAAATAGCTTGTTTTTTTCTTAGATTCTTTAAATGGACAACAGCGTTGGCCACCTACAAAAAGAAAATATCGGCACAGAAAATGAGATACAAATAACAGCGGATAAGAGAAATTTTTCAACAGTATTTCCACTTAGTGTCGGCAGCGACGATGTCGCCGTGGATAAACGTGAATTTGGAAGTTTTGAAGAACGACCACAGGCAGTAGAAAGAGAAGCTAGGTCGAACACCAATAAGGGGAATATTAGTATTGCTGTTGCTAAAGGTGACACAAGCTATTCTAATACTGCAGAAGAGGCAGAAGGTAACAGCAAAAGTAGTGTACCTAAAGCAAAAGGAAAGCAGGAAACAGACAATGTAACTTACAAAGATAATAGTAATAATATTAACACTACTACCAAAAATAAGTTTGATATTAACCATACTTCAACAAAACCGAGAGAGGATTCTGCTGCCACCATCACAACGACGAACACCACAAAAACCTACAACTTCCTAAATTTTTCATCGTCATATAAACCGACTCCAAACATGACTATTAACGCCGAAACTCGTAGCCACCAAAGTTCACAACCAGCTTCGCCAAACTCACCGAACACACCATATCCTTATTCCGAAGACCCTGAAATAGACTTAAAGCATGTGTCTGATATTGCTGAAGAGGGAATGACAACTTCAAGACTTGCTGAAATGGACCCTTCAGTGCAAAGATTACCAACTCAGGACACAAGGTCGTCAAGTAGAAGTACCTCGGCACAAATTCCTACACCAAAACAGATAATACGGATAGAAAGAGACTATTCTAGAGGAGAATTATGCCAGTTTTATGCTGCTTTTCCTCTTGAAATAGATGGGAGGGTGAGTACTGAATGACGGAACCGTTATATTTGATCATTATTACGAATTACTTGAGAAATTCATTATATCATAATCTCTTACTAATTTCGTCTGTTTTTATTTCTTAGGTTAGTCCTCGTGTCTTTCAACAGACCATAACAACATTAAATGAATTACTGGAGAAAGCTCATAGTCCCAAATATAATTGGGTGGATAATTTCCTCGCTTGTTTAACTTTATACATGTCGACTCTGTGTAAAAGACCACATTATGATCGAGTAAATTACCAAACTTTATTTTTTTCGATTGTTTATTCTTTTACATTAGAAATTCTAATTATTATGAATTATTTATTAGATGGTGGAGGAAATATGTAAATTTCTGGATAATGAAAATAAAACAACGTATAACCATCAAGGGCTCAATTTTCGAAATCCACAGAAAACAGCATTTTTATTTGTATCCTTTTTGTGATAAATTGAATCAATTACGTGGACATTTTTTCCGTATGAATCCATAACAAATTATTTTTTTCGTAGCTCGAACTGGAAATATACTAATTAATGAAAGAATACCTAAAATCTCGCAAAAAAAAACAAAAGAGGATAAGTTTGATCCCGGCATGATCAAACATTTTCGGTTATTTAATTCTGGATAATGAGGATCTATAATTTTTTTATTATGTTCTATTTCTTTTCTCGATTTTTTCTTCTGTAACATTATTTAATGTAAATTCACATTCAATCCTTAACAATTTGCAAATATCTCACTAATTATTATTACTATGGCTGCAAAAATATTATAGAAAACTATTAGCATCATCTTGAATTTTTTATAATTCAAATTCATAAAAAAATTCATACATACAACACATTAATACATCTTTCCATAAATAGAACTTCATTTTCTATCACTACAGCATAAAATTTAAATACAATTAAAAATCTCGTAAATGAACTAGTTCCTGCTATATGTCTCGGGACTTTTAAATTTATTACCCGTTTAGAGATCAAAAGGTTGAGAATGTGAATTACAAGGAATAGATTTGCAAAAGTTTGGTGTTTACGTGACGTTGCTATTTGATTTGACACAAATAAATTATATAACTTTCTTTTGGAAATAGTGATGATTATGTAGCTCTAGAAATTAAATCTATTACTTATTAATGGAAATCTCTAGATTAATATAATAATCATGATGATAATAATAATGGATATCTAATTCTTCTGATGCATTATCCATCAAGTCTATACACATTTTACCATATCTTTTGTGAACTAGCTTTTGCCATGTCTATTTGAATAAAAAATAAATCAGAATCATAATATTCAAAAAAATTAAACAAAATAAAAATAGCTACCCATAACTCGCCATCCATTAGTAATCGGGTCTGTTAATCGATCTTCTTGCATTGTGAGTGCACATATATATGAAGATTGCTCGACAGCGTCCTCTTTTCCATACACGAGTTCTTTTGTTATTCGATCACGAAATACTATTACTTCTTGTGTGTTATAATGAAGCATGAGTACTGGTATGTCATTGTCCAAAACTTTAGCCCCATACAACTATAAAGTTGGAAATCGACTTTAATTCCTAAACAGAGTTTCCTAATCGCAACAAATAAAAATAAATCCACCTACATCTAGGTTTCTTAAATCAAGTATTTTACTGTCGCTAACTAATCCTTCTTGCTGTTGAGTTTGGAAGCCATGTGTCATGACATTAAATGCCTAAGAATCCGAATACTTATTTCTCAGTATTGGAAGTTAGTATTGAAACATGTACCGGAAGATGATAGCGAGCATATACGTACAGCTTCAGAACACCATATTCGCAGTGTTTCGACATCACAATTGAGATAAGCTTCCATGACTTCAGGAATTATATATGTACGCGCTTCTTTCATAAATGTTTCAAGATCGAATTGTGGATTAATCATCTTTAGTAGTGAAATTACTTGTGCAGTTTCAGTTTCTTCGAAGAAGGAATCTATAAAAATGCAAATATTCGTTATATTTTTTGAATTGCTTCCGTATATGTTATCTACTCATCAATCGATAACTTACTAAATGTGTCCGATATTCGACTTGTAATGGCACGTGTATATGAAATAAGAATATTATCGCTATCCTCATAATTACGCCTTAAGCTGAAAATGCCTGTAAGTTTATGACGCATAAGAAATTTGATATATCAATAATCACAACAGAATATACCGAAATCAACATAGAAAACTAACCTTGCATTAGAGTATTTGTTTCCTTAAACCTATTCCAACTTTCTTTCCAAGCTGAATCTTTATGCAGAACTACGGAGGATCCTGCCCTATTTAATAGTTATATATATGTGTGTGTGTGTGTGTGTGTGCAAAAATTGGTCAGTTATTTTTTGAAAGTTTGACCTATATTTTACATTAGAGCACTCACTCTGGGTCCTCTTGAACTTTTCGTTTTTTTTTACCATCGGCAAAATCCGAGAATGCTTCTTCTCGTGATTTCCGTCGTGTTTCTTTATCTGTAAACCCGCCATAGCGCGATGAGTCATCTGGCACGGTTTCTTTTAAAGTATCACGTACTGTACTATATACTTTAGTTTGTCTTATCGGTTCAGTGGTACTAGAGACTTTTTCTGCAAAATCAGAAATCTAGAAATAAGCAAACGGAGGCCCAGAACAATTTCAGCCATCTGACTATACAAAAAATAAATACAAAACAGCACTAAAAAACAACTTGAATAAACCTTTTCTGTACTCTGTTTTACGAACGGAGTTTCACCGACTTCTTTTAATGTCTCTGAAACCTTGGATCCAATCTTTTCTGCGGATTTTTTGATTTCAGAAACAGATTGTTTTATTGCCTCAGAACCAATGTTAGTTGTGGTGCCGGCACCTTCCTAATAGTAATCAAGGATTGAACTATAATATATGAAGCAAAAATTTGACACTGAAATTGACAAAATCAATCAAAATAGCAATCTTATGGTTTTTTGCACTTAAAATTATTATTACAAACCTTTGCTTTTTCGTAAACCTGTTTTGCTCTTTTCATAGCTTCATTTTCACCCAATGAACCAGCTTGATCTTGTAATAGTTTTACATTTTCTTGTAATTCTTTGTTCTTTTTTAGCTGTGTTTTAAACGTCTCTACAAATTTGGCGAATGCACTCACTCTTCTAATTGAATGCGAGCTACCAAGGAACGAGGGATTTATCGAGAAGGACGAAGATTTTATGCGTGTTGTCATACATGTATAAAGTAATGCCGACGAATTACATCGTCGCATTGTTGCTGAAAAGTCTTTGAGCATATAACGAAAAGACATGCTGTCAAATTTAATTATTCGAAATTTTGATGTCCTTATTAAAATAAAGTTTTTTTCGCCGAATTCGCGCAGTGGGAAATTTTTGATCTACTAATGACTCATGAATATTTATATATAATGCAGCAAATACTCAGCTGCGTATTGAATTTATATCCAAAAATAGTTTACAATATTTCTCTTCATCCACATTGATATTTACTATAATATAATGTCAGTACAACTCTCAGATCATACGGACCCGAGCCCACCACCTTCTTCCATCAATGCTAACAGTTCTTTGGGCTCGTCAGCGGCTGCTGCTGCTAGTAGTAGTGAGTCGAATCAGACAATCCCAGTGCCCGCAACCTCGTTTGAAAGATACAAACGACGAGACATGAGTAAAGGTATATTTAGTCCATTTGCAATCATACCCACATTTCATTAAAATAGCTTTTCATAGTTCACACATTTTAATAACTCTTACTATTATCATTTGTAGTGGTTGTGCGTTTTCGCGCCATTGGGAATGCACCTATACTGAAACAAAACTTTTACAAAATTACGGCGTCAAACCAATTCAAAGCAGTGATACAGTTTCTCCGTAGAGAACTAAATTATAAAGCTTCAGACCCATTGGTAAATATACTAAATATATTTGTTTTTTGTGAAGCCGAAAATTTGACTTTTTTGAGTTAGTCCTTTTAATTAATTTATTATTACATGATATATTTAAGTTTCTGTATATTAATAGTGCTTTCTCGCCGGCACCCGACGAGATTGTGTCGAATTTACATAAGGTATAAAAAATCAATGTTAATAATATAAGGATTTATTAGACATATTGGATTTACACTAACATCACACGTTCGTTTTTTTCTTCTAGTGCTTTAATACCGATGGACATTTGATAATAAATTATTGTACTAGTGCGGCGTGGGGTTAAATTTTCTCTTTTTTTACATATAGATTATTAAATTAACAATCATCTGTTTAGTTCTTGATAATAATAGTAATAATAGGTTTTTAGATTCTTTATTTGTAGAATATATATCTTAATTTTAATTTTAATACTTAATATTTTGTAAAATTATAATAGTTTCTATATATAAAATTAGTTGATTCAAATTTATAATTATGATTTTAAATTATAATAAAAGAAATATTTGCGTAACTGGTCTTATTCTCTCATTACTTTTATAATTATATTTTTCTTCTTCACACACTTCATCTTCTCTTCCTTCGAATATGCTTTGTCGGAAATAGATCGTCTAAATCATCATTTGAATCTTCTGCTATATCGGCTACTTGATCATTTTTCATTTTCGCTGGTGGACTGGGAATTTCTATTTCTTGTGACTCTTTTTTTATATTCGATTCCGGCTCATTATGTTGCACTTCCTGTTTTTGCATTTCTTCCTCCTCCTCCTTTTGTGGTTGTTCATGGATTGATTCTGCTTCCGAAGTGTTTTCCTCTGCATCATTTCCATCATCATCATTATCATCATCATCATAATAGATGCGTCTTTGTTTCAATCGTGTTACCGGTGTTGCTGATTTACCAATCGATGGCGAATTATTCGATTCTTCTTCCTCTTCTTCTACATCCATCATCTCAAAAGACAATCCACTTGCGACCGATTGATTATCATCTGATTCTGCTTGACGCTGCACGACACCTATTCAGTAAATTAATTGAACATAATAAGATGAATCACGAGTATCAAACAATTCATTTCTCTTATTTACCACTTTTCTCGAGTAGTTTCAGTAGACTTTTGATTTTCTTCTTTTTTGAATTCAAAAGATCTCTGAACTAATTGATAACCAAATTATTTTGATATTTTGTAAATTAATAAATCAATATAGTTATAAAGCTAGAATCGGGAAATTATTATTCTCACGTTTTCCAGTAGTATCGTCTCACTCGTCAATTTATCTTCTGCCATTTTATTCATTTTCTGCTCAGTTAAGTCGTGTATTTTTTCAAGATCTGTAACACGCATTTCGAGCGCTTCACATCTTAACTGTTTCCAGAAATTAAACTTAGCCCAATTGATTCTTAACAGATACAAACAACACTTTGAAATACCTGATACTGTGTTCGATCCTCCAATAAAAAATCTAACCATTCTGGCCAAAGTTTAAAACATTCATTTTCGGACACCAATATAAGACCAATACTACCAAGTGTCATAGGTAAAGCCTGTACTTTGTTTAATATTCTAAATTTTAAAATCAGGCGAGATAAAGTCAATTTAGCTATCTGCGCTTACCAGCATGGGGTCTTCGCCTGGATCTTCTACTCGCCAGCTCCATTTTAGCTATAGATGAAAGTGCATTATCCAAAAAAAATAATCATTTAAAAATCACTAGTTTTGGGAGATAACAATGCTTATTTATTTGTAGAAAAATACCGTGACTGTAGAAGTTCCAGAGGTAACTTGACAAGAAAGTCTAAATTCGTTAAAGAATTCCTTTCCAGAAAGTACCGCATGTGTGGCCTCCAAGAACTGTGAAGTTTCTGTAATACCAGAAGGTTTCCCACGTCTCAGATCTCCCACTGTGACTGAAGATAAATATTGAACCTTTAGCAGGCAATAAATTAAACTGAATTAAGTTGAAAATTACCTTCGCGTTGCCAAAACGAACGACAGTCCGTCACTGATAAATCACAGACCGGTTTTTTCTCAATATCCGTTTCCAAGTCTATTGACCCGAGCCATTTTGTACGTAAATAATATTTAGTGAACTTGTCTGGTGGAGAAACTGATAAATGTGAAAAATATGTGTCGTTTGCAATTGATTTCGACATGGTTTAACAATAATTTCGCGTGTGAAATTCTTTCTTAATAAGTCGAGTTTTCGCACGTGAGTCTTAGTAAAAAAATTAATGGTTTTTATTCTTTAAAGTATAAATGAATCCTACAAATTTACTATTGTGATTGGCCATTTGTTGGAAGTCTATAATTAATTAACAAGATCATCACAATCCTGAGGGAAATTAGGCTCTAAAGGTGTAATTCGTCGAATTTATCGGTTATTCTTGAGATCTGCCTTTCCCTAAAAGAATGAAATAGTTAGCGACTAATAAATCTCTAAATGTCTCATAAATACATACTGAGAGGATTGTTGTGCTTGTTGGAGCTGTTGGCGAATTTGATTAATCAGTTGCTGGGCCTGATTGAACATTTTCTGGGCCTGCTGGGCCTGTTGTTGGGACTGTTGCTGGTGCTGTTGGAGGATCTTATTGAGCCATTGATGAATCTGATTGAATTGTTGATTTTGTTGCGAATCGTGAACGATCTCTGTGTTAATCGTCCGCAAAGTAGCTGACATTTGTTGGAAATCGAATGATTGTTGTTGAGTCATTAATAAGCAAGTAATTAAATTTTTGCTAAAAGATTGTGAAAATCGTAAAATTTAGTTGACAAAAATAATGGTCATTGGATATCGATATGTCCCATTGTATTATTTATGAGATCGACAACTGCATAAAATATAGTTACACTTATTTGTTTCTTAGTAAAATAATAAAAACAAAATTTTTGTCCCTTATTACAGCATTATAATTTTACAAGTTAACCTATTTCATGGTATTAATTGAAATTAAATTTCAAGTTTTTTACTTTTTATTTATTTAATTATCATCATTATTACTACATTGACCTACGATAAATCATTGTGCATATAAAAATTTTGATAGTAAAATCTAGTAAAAATTGAAAGTTTCATTTTGTAAAAAAAGTTTTTATTTAATTAATAAATATTTTTTGTTTTCATATCCAAATAAAGCTAAGAATCTATATTTTAATATATATTTTTTGTGAATTTTTTAGATTTTATTTCATGCAATTCTTCTTATTGTAAAATATCTGCAAAAATTTTTCATAATTAAAATTTAAATTTTATTATAAAAAATTTTTTGCAAATATTTTACAATAAGAAGAATTGCATGAAATAAAATCTAAAAAATCCACAAAAAATATATATTAAAATATAGATTCTTAGCTTTATTTGGATATGAAAACAAAAAATATTTATTAATTAAATAAAAACTTTTTTTACAAAATGAAACTTTCAATTTTTACTAGATTTTACTATCAAAATTTTTATATGCATAATGATTTATTATAGATTAGTGTATAATACCTTTTAAAAGATCTTTGTGCAAAATAATCAACTTTTTATTAATTCAGGTAATTGTATTAGTTAAGAATCTACAAGAAATTATTTTCGTTTCTATTATAATTATATAATATTATAATTAAACACAAAATTTTTATAAGCTTAGTACTTTTCAAAAACAAGTTTTATCTTTTAGTTAACACATTTTTATAATTTTCAAAAAAATTTTAATATTAAGTTAAAAAAATGTTAACCATTTCTTTTGTTAATATTATTACTATTTTTATGAAATTTAAGTTAAAAATAAAAAAGACTAAGTTTAATATAAAAAAAATTAAGTATTTTATCTAAAAGATAGATAATATATATTTGTTTATAAGCTAGAATAAAATCAGATAACTTCAATAACTTTAATAAGTTCTAATATAATTTTAGTAAGTTATAATACAAAATAATAAGTTTTTCAAATAACTTTAATTAAATTAATAACAAAGTAATTTATTATAAGTAATTTATTTTTTAAGACCAAAACCAATATAATATATAACTTGAAATATTTTATAAATTATCTACTAGTTATTAAGTTTTTTAGTAATCTAATTAATTACTAAATTATAACTAATATATATAATATATTTATATAAATTAATTATAATATAATATTATTAATTCTATTATTAACTTTAATTTTGTTGATCTAAATTATTAATTTTATTAAAATTATTAATTTAATTAATATAAGTATTATTAGTATTGTTAATATTATTATACAAGTATTAATATTGTTAAAAAATTAATAACTTACTATAAAATAATTGTCCAATAAGATTATATTAAATATTAATTAATAAATATTGTTAAATAAAATAAATAATATAATTATCCAATAAAATATTTGTTAAAATTTATATTATAATTAGAAATAATGCAGCAAGTATCTGATACTTATTTATTACTTATTGTAACTAAGAATACTTGTTAAAATTCAGAAATTTTGGTAATTTGTCAAGTTAAAATTATTAAATATTATTTTGACAAATAAAATTTAATTATCAAAATATCAAAATTCAATGTTATATCAAAATTCAAAATTATGTCAAAATTCAAAGTTATATCAAAATTCAAAATTATATTAAAATTCAAAATTATATTAAATAGAAAAATAAAAAAATATATTATTATATATTAAATTTAAAAATTTTATTATAAATTAAAATTGATATTTAATAATTATTAAATTTAAATAAAAAATTTTACAAAAATATAAATAATTTCATTTTTGTTAATTAAATCTTAATTATATAAATTTATCAATTTCTTTCTTTTCTAATTCTTCATCTTTATCTTTATTCTTATCCTCATCTTTTTTATTGAAATTTTTAAAATACAGAGGTCTCCCAGAATATTGTGGACACTTTTTAAAATATAATAATGCAAAAACTAATAAAAAAGCAAGATTTATGATTCTAAGCTAATAGAATCATTGAAACTTATTGTACATTATATCAAAATTGCAAGTAAT